GACCTGAATTAAACCATGAATTTGAGAAGAACAACTCCTGTCGGAAGGTAATAAGGGGTTAAAAACCCTATAAAGAATGTTGCAATAGGTAGTGGGAGCCAACTGTTAAAGCAATCCTTTTAGATTATGTATACATGGTTCCTTATTCAGAAAGCAAGGATTATATAAGCACTCTAGGCTTTGCTTTATGCACTTTAATTATATGAATTGCAAACCTTTTTTCATTGCACACAATGCCAGTTTCTATTGATTGAGTCGCTGCTCAGAATTAATACTGCATGCTGATACGAATCTGGCGAAGTCGTACAGCCCTTGGACTGACAGCGTTTTTTTCTTTCCGTATTACTTACTTTCCTTCTGCATTTTACATTTATCCAATAATTTATTTTCGTGTATTCATTATCAAACGAGCCGTGAATATGAATCTTATTTGAAAATATTTTTTCACAATCTGCTTTTCAATGCAAACTGACGTCAATGGCCGTTCTGGCACATGACATAAGTCTTTTTAATATCAAAATCCATCTCTAGTAGCTGACATTTAGATTGCAACTGTTAATATGCTGAATGTTATCGTTGCATAAAGCCACTCGATGCTGAAATCTTTGAGAAATTCCCTTTGTGCTGCATAATAGAACCAGATAATCCCAAACGACTTACGAACAACATCGCTTCCAAAAAGATATGCGCATAAGGATTTTGACGCTTATCTCATAATCATCCTGCTAGCTTGTTGCCAATGATCATGCAGAACATGTGACATGTATCCGCAGTCCACATGCAATGCTTACACCTCAGTTTAGTATCAGATTAAGTTTCATGGTGAATCAGACTTCAAAGAGGGCAAACATATCCACACGCAGCATGTTCGTGGCCATAGCTGTTTTATTCATAGTTAGCAGCTGATTATGTTGCTTTGCTCTCAGTCCTTATAATACTCCATCATAAAAAGTAACAGAAGCTGTACATCCCTCCCACAAAACAGGGTTGGCTGAAGCGCATACGTTCACAACAAGAAGGAAACGAGAATATCTGTGAATATCAATTATAAAGACATCTTTTGAAGGGAGAGGCATGATGCAGTTATGCTAGCTTGTGTATACTATGAATAATCTTTCAAAATATTTAAGCTTTATGATTCCTTGGAAATTATTATTCCTATGATTAATCAAAACCTTTTGAGGGGAATACTTATCACTATTTTTCATTGTTATGTACACTATTTCATGGAAACTCTCCTTGATGGACTCAACTGCAGATAAGAAGAAAAAACAATGGACATGAATACCGAAACTAACTGTATTCTTTTTTGGAACGAAATTATTTAGGCCTGTTATATATGTAAATGTCTATGCTATTAGCTTTAAACTTATTTACCCGATGATCCTTGGATTTATCTCGCGTGGGTTACTTTTTGGGCTTTGCAAACCAAATCCTGAACTTCAGTCTACCAAGAGAACTTAATTAAATTATCGTCTTTTAAGAAATCTTTGAAAATATGAGAACCTTCCAAACCTCTGCTCACGGCGTAAGTTCGAATGAGGTCTGATTATGCACAAGTCTAGGTCACGTATTGTTGCATTTGTCTCAGTAGAAAGATTATCACTCAGTTTTTATATGTATAAAAATGTGCTGGGTGTTTAAATTGGGACGTATCCACAATCACACAAATAAAAGAGTGCTGTTTCGGTTTCCTTCCAAAGGTACTCGTAGATCCAAAGTACAAGATTACATAGTGGAAAGGGAAAATCTACACATTAGCTCGCATTTCTGAGTTTTCGATCTATATTCTGACGTCTTATACTCTGAAGAGTGTAAAAGCTCCGAAGAATCAGATATAAAGCCTGAGCATGTTCTAAAATGTCTAAAAAGGTTGCAAAAAAGGATAAGTGTTGTGATTCTGGAAGGCTTTTACTTGAAAAGTTGCTAGGGGCTTCTTGAATTTCCAAACCAGTGGCATGAGTTTATTTGCCAAGGACTCAGGAAAAGGTATGAATTTGTCGTGGATTCTAGAAAACGCAAAAATCTGGAAATAATAGAAGAATATTTGCAGTTTTATCTAGTGAGCCTGTAGTAGGAGCACCATTAAAAGTATCAACTTCAAGTTGGAATATTCATCAAAGGTTCTCTGTATAAATATGTAACAGTTATCAGAATGTGTTTAATCTAACACCAGTAGCATCGCAAATGATTGTTTTTCTTAAATGACTGACAAGTTCTTGAAATAAAAATATCGACACAAGGAAGAGAGATTTAAACAACTGCTGCAAGCTAATGAATGGATTATTTCAATGAAAAGATTGGGTATTTAGAAGTCTTTTTGACACCTTTGTGACCTTCAGCTTGCTCTGATGGGTTCTGGAACTCTTTGCATCACCGCCTACTGCCCTGAATCTGTTTACCCATTCAAACATCTAATCTAAAAGGCCTCTATCTAAATTTTTTCACAATGATTGTTGTATACTTTGAGGTAACCCTAGATGTAATTTTAACCTAGAAGTTTCAGAAACTTTTTCACCTGATTCTCATTCTTCAAAAGGGCCGCACAATTTCCAAAAAGTGGTACTAGACTTTCTTCAACTCGATGAGGGAGGGGCAACTGCCCCTAGTTGCCCCCTTAAATCGGCCACTGAACATGGCATCAAAAATTGTGTCCGCGGAAGTGCGCAACTACCAGCAACAATGGCATCAACCCACATTGCTCCAGTTTCAACCAAACTGAAACTGCAACACTCTATTACGACCCAAGAAAGTAGGTAAAACAGCCAAGATCAACGCTTTAAAACTAAAGAAGGACATAAAATAGAAACATGTGCTTTTTCTGTTCTCTGCTATGACTATACTTAAGGCCGGAAGCTAGAGTAAGCGTAAAATTTTATTAGCATGCGCAAATTTCTGTGCCTTTAGGGAAATCATGCGTCCATATTCATTCCCTTTGGCTCGAAAATGCGACAACAGTTCTATACAAACTGAAAACATCTAATAAGTCCTTAGCAAAATTTCTTTACAGGTTTCTACATTTCTGCATGTGATTCCAGTGGATAAACCTCTTTAATTTTTATGCACGCCATGCGGAGAGTTTCCATGTTCTTTACCTACGAAGACGAACATTTTTGTATTCTAATTTTGTCTAAGTTTCACTCCTCCAAATGTCCTGCCTATTGTGGTCACAAGGTTGTAGTAGAGTTCAAGTTAGGTAAAATAGGTGATGGTAGGTCGTTCTAGCTTGATTCAGATTGTGATAACGTGAAGTAGATTATTGTAGGTCGTTCTGTAAATATGCAGATGAGCAAGGTCTGGCAAGCCTGTGTTCCAGACTAGGGGTCTGGAGTAAAGGCTGAAGTAAAGGCTACGTCTGGAAAGACTAACCATTAGCTGACCTCGTACAAAACAAAGGTTCCCTTTTTAATCACAAATGTCGAGCAAGCCATGCTTTCATTAAAAGCTGCACAAATTCTTTTAGAAAAGCCAATACTCAGCTTGAGCAATTTTTAGGAATGCACTTTTAAATATTTCCAAAAATTGATTTGAAATTTGCAATATCTCCAAAGGTCGTCGAGATATCTATTTGGCCCCTCCCGTAAAAAGATCGCTTTTGATAAGAAAGTTGAATTTTTGAAACACACTAATTTATGTCGGTTATGTCCATATCATTTTTTCCATTGCTGATATCAAAAGTGATAAATCAAAGATTTCCTTCGTTATTCTTATACACTTTTATTATCTTACTTCAAGACAGGACATCTATGTTGTCGCTAGAAAAGTGTAGTTCTTGAAGCGTTAAGAGCCTCTGTTTTTAATGAAACCGTGCTGCAGCTGTTTCATAGTAAAGTGAGATAACGCTCATTAATTGCTGAAAGACTAGAAAAAAGGCCCATTAAATTATCTAGAGTGATAATTGTAAGGAGCCATTATCCAGTCACGTAGACGATATCACAGAAGAATAAACTTGAATAAAGATATAGGCTGCAAGGTAACGAACTGAGACGAGTCTCGTCAATGGATGATTATGTAGGGTTGTCCCAAATTTAATATTTATTCAAGTATTAGTAAGCGTAGGATTGCCTTATCACGCTCACTCAATTGCATAACGGTTTATTTAATTACTGACAGTTGGCTATTGAATTAAACTTGATCAGAGCATTGAAGAAATTCATTTCCCTGTTTGAATTATGTAAACCCACGACATAGTTATGCATTTGCACACGTTTCAAAGATTGTGACACAGTGTTCATAAAAAGCGTGACCTAAATGATTAATTTTTATCATTTTGCGTACAATATGCATGTCGAGATTTTTCTAAATATCTGAATGTAACTGGCGTTAAAGTTAAGAACTCATTATGTCATGAACATTTATTTTTTTTGTTTTTGAAGCCTGATCATGTAATTTGAATAAGATAACTCAAAGTAGCTGCACATATGATAAACTGTAGAACCAACCAGAAAATTGAATTCCAAATTAAAAAATGAGAATCAAACTAATTATAACTTATGTCACTGTATAGCTGTTTAATTCAAATCATTCCATCATCATTATTTGAACCCATGAATCATTTGAATCAAATTAACCCAACCAATCAATCAGATTATTCGTTCAACTCTTTCCCTATTAAATCACTAAAATTTCGTTCGTCTTGGCTCCAGGCTCTAGGGAGCAATCCAAAACCATAGTAATCGTTTAGTAAACTTCAGGAGTTTCAATGACCATATCTCAACTAATTTGGAGCAGATTTTATTAGTTTTTACAAGTATAGGTACTTCATGATTTTCTTTTCAGATAGTACCTTTATTTTACAAAGATTCTAGCAACATGTTTCATAATGTCAACCCTTTTTAACATCATTGAGTATAGAGTGTAATAGATTATACGACGATATCATATGCAACGCTCGATATCATTGGTCATATTATAGTCACACTCTTACAATTAGTGCTTTAAGACTTTTCAACAAATTGCCTTCCTGACAGTAAAATCTGAACAGTAGTTAAAAGTACACAAGATTTGTTAAAGTTAAATATAGCTGCTATTAAAGGGTAGTAAAAAAGCACAGAAACAATCTTGAATAGTTTAGGGTCTCCATACCTTTCCAAATACTGAAGGCTATAATTGTTTCTGAGAAGAGCTTCAAGTTTTGTTAACAAACATTATTATAGATTCACCTGTTCTGATACTATGATAAAGAAGAATGAAAGAAGAGCAACGTCAAAAGCAATAACAGGATATCAAAGTTTCTTAACAATCCATGTACAAGGATTATTCTCTAAAATATTATGTGTACAAGAAATCAAGCAACTCTTAAGTTACTTTCAAGCGGCACAGAGACCTACTGGTTTTAATACTGACTAACAGCAGCAACGAAGTGGATTACTGTAAGGGGCAATTCACTCTTGCAGCTTGCAAATAGCATACAAGACTTTCCCTAAAACAAAAGGATTTCCGAGGATTTTCAGATAATACAAAAGGATTTGCACAAAAGGTGTACGAGATTTTCTTGTAGTGATTTGCCGCTGGGAATACTGTACCTGTCCATATAAGAGACAAGGATATAAGCAGTTTTAAACAGCTCTTCAGATCATGCACAACTAAATTAGACGAAGAAATGGATTCATGCAAAGCTTTCTTTAGTAAATCACCTGCAAATCATGTAAATTGGAAAAAAACAGCAAAATATTCACTCAAAACTATTCACTTTCACTTATGGATGATTTAATGAAAATAAAAAGTTCCTTATTGATAAATGATAAAGAAGTCCTGTCGCATTGTAAATTAACATTTTAGCAGTGCTGATTAAATAGTTTCGTAATAACGAATTTAGGTTGCTGTATTATTGCATAGATAGTAGATGGGTCTAAAAAATATTTGCTATACTAATAAATTCTTGTGAGTTTGCATAAGCCCATTTAAAGTCGAGCTGAATTTGTTAAAAAAATCGATATTCATGCATGCTTTTTGAAAACAATTGAAAACTAAAGTCTTGAGAACTCAGGTTTTTACAAAGAGTTTACAAAATGAATTTCAATAATGCTTTGACAGTGACAAACCCAAAAGAAGAAAAAAGAAAAAAAAGGGAAAGCAAGCAACGCCAACAACCACAACACAATAACAAAACAAAAACAACACTAATGCTTCCAAGCAGCAAAGCAACGAAAATTACAATTGTTAAATATTAGATAGGGTATTTTTACATAACATGCTAAAAGAAAGATGAGAATGTGCCTTGTTTTTGCTGAATTGGTCAGTCAGCTTACGTAACTACGTTCTTCAAACTTACATATAGGTGCTTTTCACAACACAGAGAAAATGATCGTTTTACATCATTTCTATGAATGATGCTATTGAATGCAAAACCTTTACATCAGATTACCTTTTGTCAAGTCGGCTTAATAAATTTGATTTGCAGTTAACAATTTCAAAAATCAATGGTTTACTAAATAATAGAACGGTACACGTAATACTCGAATTCTATGGCACCTGTGGGACATGCAGCACGCAGCAGTTCGTGTCACTATATGCTGTGAGTAAAACTGGATGTTTCAAATTGAATTTTGCCTTCTAGATAGGACGACGCCATTACCCGGAAAGAGCAACGGGTCTATCGATGCAAAGCTTGCGCTTATTCCGCTGTAAAGGCTCAAAAGGACCGCCATGTTACAATTTAACAGAAGCTAATTCAACATAGCTAACTGGAATCGGCTGAAATAGCTAAGACGTGTTTCTTGGCAAAGATTTTATTTACAATTACGTGCTTTGTGGCAAAAGGTTTAATTTGGGAAATTTTCAGCCAATAAAGCTAAATCTATTAAGGAAATAAGTTGCTAACGATTCATCTTTAACCAAAAGTTTTTGTCTTTGACAAGCTTCAATCTAAGAGAAGACTTTTAAACAAGATTCAAAAGTCTTTTTTTCAACTCTGTTAATGTTTATCATGACTTGTTCTCAGCAAATGCAAATGTACACCTGCCTCTTTCAGGATCTTGCAAGCTCTTGCAAGTACTTGCAGGATCTTGCAGGGTCTTGCAGTGACTTGCAGGATCTTGCAGGATCTTGCAGGATCTTTCAGGGTCTTTCAATGACTTGTGAGGTGTTTAGAGCTCTTAAAAATACTACCTTGCATGACCTTCAAACTATTCAATAACTTGGTCCGAAACTCAAGTCAGTAAAAAAGGCAATACCGTTGCATTGCTGATCTTTTCAGCAATAGTCGATAAGTAGCCATATGATAGTCTACTTTAATTGAGTGTCAGCTTGCAGGAGATGCGAATCCGCGCCAATAAATTGAAAGGTAGTTTACGCATGCGTCAGCCATAAATGACTATCGGTTCCAGCCTGGATTCCTAAATTTGCTACATGTTGGATTGCCGGGGAAACTTTGAGGCGCTTTTGGTACTGGGGTTTGCAAGACTTGTGACCGAGGAATTTAATGAGGCGATCTAACCAGGGGGACAGTAATTTTGTACCGGGGAGGATCTTGCCTTGCCCGGGGCAGGATTTTGCTTAAATTATTTCACCGGGGAATTCGCCGGGGCAGGATTTGCCGGGGCACTTAGACATGGATGTTTGTAAGGTCTTACTGCGTACTCAGGAGCTACTATGCCTATAATGCTGTTGCACATAGGCATGGCGTATCATGATACAAATTAGAATTTGTTTTAATTGATATCGAATTATGGACTAAGCTGCCTAAATATACACAAAACATAGTCAAATTGTTTGTTTCATTATCGGATATACTTGCTTGAAAAGAGAAAAGCAAAATAAAAGTGGAAATCTGAAAGGAACTTTGTCTCGAGACGAGAATCACGAAAAGCTTATCACCACTGGAGATTGAGATAAGAATTTTTCATGACTCATTCTCGAAAACGTCCTGTTCTAAAAAGACTGCTTAAACATGCGGGTTACCTTTATCTCTCACGTGTTTTTCTCAAACGGGTATAGCTCATAACAATTTGAATCCAAAATTTTTTTGAAAGAATTAACTAGCGAGATCTGGGAGAATTGTTGGTTCTACTTGGAGATAAGTCTCAAATCCTCTTAAGCAGAGCTTAGAAACAAAACGGTCAGAGGTCAAAAACTGTGAGCAAGGCAAATGCAAATGCCACTGAAATGCTGCAACTAAACCCTACCTTGCTAATTTTTATCGGTGAAACTTTTTCAGAGAATGATATCATCTAGATGAATAGAGTTCTCAAGTGTGACGTCAAAAAAGCACTTCTTTTAGAATTTTTGAATTTTGACCACATAACATGAAAGAACACTATAAAATACTTCCATATATGCAATATAAGTTAAATTTGTAAACAATTTGGTGAGCTATGGTAAATAGAAGATTTGAAGTTCGCCAGCGGATTACTGTTATTTTGGCTCAGTTCATAAAGTTTTGAACTGAGACCAAATTACAAAGGTTTGATGGGGTCAGAGCTTGTGTTGTGCTCATCTGGACTCATCTCAGCCGATTCGTAATACCTCTAACTGGTTTTGCAGATATAGAGGTATTTCAAAATGCTCTTTCAGGTTATGGGGAAAAAATTCAAAAATTCTAAAAATAGATTTTTGTGACGTAATCATTTTACAACTCTATTGTTGGGGTTTTTGGCGGGCCTAATAGTATTTTATTTCCAACCTATTTTCCTCCATGTTTCAAGTTTCGACTACCTAAAGCTAGTACGTGTGCAGTTTACCTACAAGGAGGGGGGTATGTTCAGTTTATTTCAAACTTATCTTCTCCTCAACAAAAACGGACTCTGCTTTTTAGGTAGATGTTTATCGAATTTTTGTTTGAAACAAAAAGCAAAGAAAACTCAAAGTAGGTGAAAATGTTATACTGAATACAGATCACTACATTCTGCTATATATCTACAACTAAAGGCGAATTTTAACAGTTCACACTGCAAATTACAATGCTGGAGATTTGTAGGGTCGGTAAGATTCTAAATAGTATTAGTAGCATTGGTTTGAGGAGTGATTACTTACAGAAGGCAGATAACAGATTTCAGTTCTGTATTCTCATTACAAAAATATTTGTCAGATAAACACGAGACCATAAGTACTGCCTTTCTAGAAGATTCTTCCTTTAAACTTTTCACAGCTCAACGATTATTTTGTTATTGAGAATGTCTTTTGAACTTTTTTTGGAACAGCTCTATTGACAAAATCTTTTCCAACATAAGCTAAATTTCGGAGCATTTTATCAATTCACCACCTTCATGATATATAATGGGTGTGCATGGTTGATGGATTCAATCTTCATCAGTATAATGCCTTATGGATCTTACTAAAAATGATGAAAATGAAGATGTACATGAGGCGGTTATTCTCGAAGCATTTTTGCACTCTCCTGTTTAAAAGTTTAGATGAGATTTGAAGAGCTGGAATACGTATTTAATCATATCTCATATTTCACTTGCCGCAAATTTAGAGGTCTAGGAAAGAATTGATGAAATTATTTTCAAGCAAGTGAATAGTTATCAGAGGTCAAAAACTGTTCTGCTATTCGCTAATAGTTTAAAGCGCCACAAATCGTTTCTTCATTTAAAGTTTATCGCAGGTGCTTTAACTTATTCTCATCACATGCAGTGAGGTAACAGCGCCTGGCACCATTGAATCAAGATCTGAAAAAGAAGCTTTTTAAAGAAAACAGCAAAATAAAGGTAGTTTTAGCTCAAGGTTTTTAAAGTAAGGTTGTATGGAATAGCAAGAAAAAGCTGGTGACTGCGATAACATCGTGGCTATGCAGAGTAATCTTTTGTTCTTAATTTGACGTCATTGCAACATTAATCATTAGGTTAATCTGACGTTAAGTATTTACATGCTGAAGACACAGAGTAGCCAACTCACTTGTGAATGTCATTAGTTGGCAAAGAAGTCGATAAAAACTTTTGTGGTTGTTCAAACATATGATAGCATGGCTTCAAAACATAGCCTAGAAGATTTACTGAATCTATCACTTGGAACTCCTGAGATAGGTGCAGTGAATTTCAATTATTTATATGAAGTCATACATGAGATACTGAAACATCTTGGAATTGCCAATAAGCAGGCCGGTACTGTAGAGGATTTTGATTATCGTGTTCAGTCACTTTCTGGCAGATCAACACCACTGCCAGAAGTTCAAGAAGAAAGTAATGTTGAAACTGACAACGCTGCTCTTAAATCAGAAAAGGCTATTAAAAATGGCGATGAACAAAATATGGCTAAGGAAAATGACCCCAAGTCGTCTTCAAATTTGTCAGACATCAAAGAGCCCACTATCTTTGACGAAAATCGGCAACAAGGCTCTCATCAAGACATTTCCAAGAGGCGGAGCTCGCATTCAGATGAGCAAAATCATGTTTCAAGGGACCAGAAAGATGAAACATCACTCGCAAGTAGAAAAAGTTCTGAAAAGAAACTTCCACAGGAAGACACCTCCGAAAAGAATACCCATGCAAGCCAAAATAAGCCTACATCAGCAAAATCAAGCAACGGCACTGAAAGGGTTGTGCGCCGCCAATCCGTGAGCCCAACTGGATATACAGCATCAAGACGAGGATCAAATGCAAGTGCTGGATTCCCCGAGAGACGCTTATCTCTTGTCGCTAATGCCAATGATGGTACAATCCTTAGCAATCAAGATATCTTATTGATCAACAGGTAGGGCTGTTACAAGTTGTTACATTGCATCTAATAGGCCTGTTAGAAGTTGTTACATTGAATTTGATCAATAGGTAGGGCTGTTACATTGCGTTGTCTCTATTTACAGATAGTTGCTATGAAGTTAAATCAATGAGGCTATATTTTCGGATGGCAACGCCAGGCTCTAACTCTACTTGTGCCAAAACAGCCATTTTGATCTACTCGTTATGTGGTAGCCCTTAATTTCCCTTATGTAAACCTTTCTATACTATTGTCTATGCATAAGAAGCGTTGTTAGTTATGTTACATGGTTTAATATCAATATTTGTACTTTTGTATTTTTTTTCTGAATAAAAGCAATTGATCAAACACTTGATGTGTTATTGCATAGATGTTGGCTTGCGGAAATATCCACATCATAGTTAATTGGTTTTATTTCATATTCCAATAAATATCGTGGGCTCAAATCACACATCTATTAGATTATCCATCGTTTTCATAAATCGTCTTTGCAGAGAACGAAAGATCTTTGTAATGCTATCATTAATTTTTTCCATAATTAATGAGTCAAAAATCTAAATTTCCTGGCTTTGGTTGTTATTTTGAAGTTTTAATTTTTCCAATAAGTACAGCTCAAAGACTGACAAAAGCACTTGCCGTCATTTGAACAAACAAATAAATTTTTAGGTATCTTTGCAGACTAAATACCTATTTTACTACAGCTGCAAAAATATTATCAAAGCCTTCAAGCTGCTCATTATTATCAGGCTTTGTAAACTTTGTCACAAACTTTTTAACTGGTACTTATATGTCTCGAGTATACCAAAGTATGATGTTTTGCAAATGAATAGAAATATTCTTGTTAATTCTCAGTTAGAATTTAAATATAGCATGAAAATAGGAATATGATATTACTGAAGCACAAATCTGTTAGAACATTTATCTTTGTTCCCTTGGTCTTAGTTTTCTTTGCTGTCCTAGGTCTTCTGTTATCTAACTCTCTTGGGTTTCTCTGCTCGATTCCATTGGCTGCATGGGTACTAAAATGATTTTTGCCTTCATGGCACGACTTTATTTGCATTTTCCTTGATATTGCGTTAGTTTTTTATGTCTCATCTACACATTTTGACTACTAACGATTGGGGTATCATCTTTTCGTGTCTTTGGCATCAAATAACATTTAAACATTCAGTGTACCTTCGTTTTTGCTCAAACTTTAAGGTCACTGGATCGAAGAGACAGCAAAACACCGGCTGGTGACATGTGGCAAATCTTGAATGTAAACAGGCGACTTGAAGCGGCTGAGGCAACGATACAGGGGATGACTGGTCTCATTGACAATCTTTCAACTGATATCAGTGAAATAAGAGGCAGCATTAACTCAGCAAAAGATACTGCAAATGAGAGCAAGATTGTACCAAAGGTAAAAAGTTAGATATCTAGAATGTAGAAAGAATTAATGTATGCATCGCTAAGGATGCATCTTCTACCGATTAATTGTTATAAATAAATGCATGCAATTCATAAATTTCATGTTCAGGATTGATATAACTATACCAGGATTGATATAACTTAGGTGTCCAATATTTTTATCACAATCAAAATATTTGCAACTGTCGAAAATTTCAGAAAATATTTTTTTTGGAAGAGTAAGCACTTAATCATAATACTATTTAATGAACTTTGTGCAGTTGTTCGATATTAAGCATTATTAAAATATTTTTGTTCTTCAAAGGATGATCAAGGAATGCAAGTCAACAAAGAGTACTTTGATCAAGTGTCAACTTCTATTCAAAACATGGAAGATTTCATGAAGACTTGTGCGACAAAATCTGATCTCAGTGATTTTTGCTCATTATCCCAAGTTGAATCTTTGATCGAAGAGCGACTTTCTAGTCAGCCTGCACTTACAGCTTCAGAGCAGCCTCCTAAACGAAAAGAATCACGAACAAAGCTTCTTCAAGATGCTTTAAGTAGAATCATGAAACTGGAAGAAGGAAGCATTTTCCTAAATGAAGAATTCGAGCGCATGAAATCCGCTTTGTCAATGAAGGCAGAGAAGGAGGATCAGGAGAAAGTTGCTCAACTTGAAACTCAAGTAGCCGAATTAAAGCAAGATATGATTATGATGCAACCTGTAGCTAGAGATGTAAATGAAATGAAAGAGCAAATCAAGAATATGTCTGAAACTGCAGATACACTTAAGTACATATCTGATCAAATTGGCAAAGAGCAATCTGAAACGTCCAGTAACATCAGCAAGATAGGAAAAGAACTGGAAACACTGACTGACACAGTTCATACAAAAATGGGTAAGTCTTGCTTCAAAGCAGCATTAAATGTATATTAAAATTTCCTTACAATGGATATATCCTTTTAAAACAGTGGACGGCTTGAAAATAGCTAATTGTCTCTTTTTCAAAACAAAGGCAACAGATAAAACTGTTTGGTGTCTTCTTATACTTAAAAAATTGTTGTTGGAAAAGAGCCAACTCATCGCTCCTTTACCTCGACATCAGATATTGCATAGTTAAGCGACACAAGGTCAAAGTTAATTCCTTTAAAGAATTGTTATCCGCTTCAAGTTCTTGAGTCGAGAGACTTAAGGTTTCAAATTCTTGTGGAGATCTATGTTGAAATGCGAGTTTTTCTTTTTCTTAGGATCGGTAGTAAATACTTACGCAGCGAAATCAGAGCAAGATGATATTTCAAAGTTAAAAACGATGCTCTCAGCCTTAAAAGAGGAACATAGCTCACTTGACGACGAATTTCTCAAGCTAAGAAAAGAATTGAAAGAAGGAAGTAAGAGATTTGAGCTGATTGAAGGTGCCATAGAAGACGTGAAGGTAATTTTCTATAGACAATGCTTCCTTCTCTGAGTTCGGAGGAGAAGTCATTGCCAAGTTCGAAATTTAATAAATGGATGGCTTTAAATGGAGTTGACCTCTTTGGCACTGTTTCTTCATACAGCTTATTTTTTTGAGTTACAAATTTTGAGCAACATGGTTATCAAAACAAGAAACAACAAAGAAGGGAATATTTTGGTACTGGTTTCTTATTTTCAATGAAGGCTGTTATAGGCTAAAACCGTTTAAAAAGCCATCTCTTAAGTCATTCTTGTTGGTAATCAGCGAGTGATGATGATTGTTCTTTAGCACTGTGACAGCGCAGTTTGCATAAATGTATTGAATTAGAATTGGATTGATTAAGTTTGATCATTAACTTGTTTATGAGTACGATGGAAAATGAATGTAATATTGAATTTCTATTTTGGTATTGCATTTGTCTGTTGTAGCTAATGACATTAGAAAAGGTGGAATTTTATTATGCCGTAACCAAAAATGTAAAACCAGAAACAGTTCTAAAACCTAGTTATTAAAGACTTCAGATTTTGCAAAATTAAATATCAACAGTAATGATCAGATTAATTACTGTTGGAAAGAAAATGCCTATAGCACAGATATGTTGATTTAAAAATCTGTGGTGTTGCTTTGATCAAAGTAGCTAAATCCAGGCTTTGGTAGCTATGATGAATAGGAGATGTTTACAACATGTGCCCAATCTCTTTGTTGTCTATATTGTGAATTGCTCTGAACTGGATTCCAATTCATTTCGCCTTTCTGGTTATCTTTTGGATTACACTAAAGGAATGCACCACATGCTCAACGATTTTTGAAACTGCTTACAAACTTTCTTTATTTTTTTCATGATCAGAAGAAACGTTTTTGAAATTTCTTCATCGAAAATGATATACAAAAGGCACGCAACATTTAAATAACTTTTACATTTAAAACTAAGAGAAGTCATTTATTCGATAGAAAAAAGGATATCGGTAGATTGTCATCTTAAAAATGTTTTTCTCATTACTGGCTATCTGTTACAAGCATTTAATTGGGGTTATACTGTTATAAATTTTATAAATAAATTTATGTATGTTATAAATAAAATGTTTCAAAATACAGTCTTCAGACTTGTAGGTCGATAAAACCAAAAGCTGTCTGAATCGAAATTGCAGATTCTTCACCGTTTATCAAGAGCATTATTCAGTGATATTTAAGTCACGAAATAAGTTCAAAATCATCTTTCCATAAGAATAGTTTTATTTCCCTCACTCTGTTTTTAAGCATATCAAATTTATTTGATAGCAAGGCTGAGATCATTTCGAATATCAACCCAGACAATCTTCTTCTAGCAATGAACAATTTTCAACTTCTATCAACAGATCAAAAAGCTTGGCAAAGATGAAATAGAGAAAATGCTGAGCCTAAAAGCCGACAAGAGTCAAATTGAGGACAAGATAACCCAACAGCAGTTTGATTCCTGTATGGTTCATTTGGACAAAAACATCCAGGATGTTATGCAGAGAATTGATGGGCAGGTAAAGTAAACAGATTGGCAAAGAACAATTGCATTTTTTTATTTTTATGTATTACTTACAAATTCAAGCCAGATATTTCTCATACATTAAAAAACAAAACCAATTTATTTTGATATGATTTTATTATGTATCATTCGTAGACTTAACTGTCCGATGAATTGTGTCTTATTCGGAATTGGTATCATAATTTGCATCAACCCCTTTCATATATAGCTTGCAGGATTTACAAATTTTCAACTAGTGTTTCATAACTATTACAATTTATCATTCCATGTAACATTGTTTTTAAGGAAACAATACTGAAGCAGTTTATTTGCAAGTTGGAAACCAGGCTTGAAAAAACAATAGGTCAAGATGACTTACAAAAGTTGAAAGACAACCTAGAAAATCGCATGAAAACGTTCAAGGTGAGCGTTCAAGAACCAATGTCACCTGAAGACGGGGCTGCCGGATTTCGCAAGCCATTACTGCGAAATTTCCACTGCATTTCTTGTGACAGACCCCTAGAAATGTTGCAGGAAGATGTAATGCCAACATTGCCAATGTGCCAAGCGCTTCCTGGCTCAAGGGCCATCCGTCCGTACACAACATTTGAGCTGGAGCAGATAAGAAAACATGTTCGTGGCACTGGTAGCAATAAGGATCGATATGAAGCAGCGCAGGAGCGAGAGAGACTTCAGAAACAGCTGCTTCGATTGTGGTAAGTTTTGAATTATATCTTGTGCAAGTGGAAGGATAGAAATTGGCCTTAACTGATGCAGTTGACGAAGACTGAATTCTCCAAGCTCATACATAAACGGCAAAAAAGACTTGATTATGTTTAATTATATTTGCAGCTTTGGTCTCCTCAGAATAGCGAAACATATCTGAACCACTTCTTTCTGAGAACAACAGTGAAAATGTGGAGTTTTAATTGATAAGAAACGCCTGAATAGAATACAGAAGTCGAACATTAGCATGTAAGCTGTCTTCTATTTGAGTTATTAAAAAAACACCCCATGTGCAAAATTTCAGTGATGAAAAAGTGTGATAGCTCAAACAATTTATTGGGTATTCGAAGAGTCTTAATACATAGCGGCCACAACAATCGCACAAATTATTGAATGCTTTGGGGGGAGCTTGATCCCCTGGATCACAAGGCCAAAGACTGCAAGGAGGGCCATTTTAAAAATGAACTAAAATACGATGATCAAACCCCAACAAGTCCTCATCTTTTCCTGAAAAAGGTTTTCGAACTTAAGATAAATTCCTGGAGGAGGTTGAAAACTTTTCAAGGTGCGGGGATTTTGCTTTATGCAATTGGAATATAGTCAAAATTTGAGACTCGCTGAAATTGTAATGGAAATTTGGGAGTGAGCAACAGACAAGTCAGCTACAACCAGAATTCAATTCACCTTGAATTTATGATCTAGCAACCAAAAAATCGCAATATATCCATGAAAAATGCAAACAAATGTAGAAATATTTGTCCTGTTAAAAAAGTACATATATTTGTAAGCCCGATTATTTCAGGCATGCCAGGAAAACATACTTGTCAGGAAAAGCACCAATGAAATTTTCGCTCATTAAAAAATTCAATAAATCGACCTCGCCCAAGATTATCTCGAGAAAGAAATTACTGTCTAAATTGCTTCCTTTCACAATATTCCTTTTTGAAGAAATTATTTAAAAAGCTTACCATCATGAAAAGAAATTTTAATCTTCTACAAATTAATTTTCAAAGGATTATTTATATAGATTTGTCTTGTATTCACATCAAACGCTTCATAGATTTATCACATTAGAAATAAGCTCAAAGCAAAAACTTCATGCATTTTGATATCCTTGCGATGCGAGTTTACCAGAAAAGCTTTTCTATGCTTCATTCAATAGTGATCTCATTTTTTGGAGGACAATAAGGCTCGTAGGCAGACTCTCCCTTTCCATGAAAACCGTACCCAATATTAAGTCTTATTTTTGTCAACATCCATCTACGATCAATAATTTTTTTGCGTTTTATTCTTTTAACTCCTATATGAAACCGTTGCCTGATGACAGACCATACATATAATACTCAAAATAAATTTTTCCAAAAGCCAGGTGTGAGAAGAGGCAAGTGGGCTTAGTCATAACACCATCTAACAACTCCAAAATCATGACTTTGGACTAGAGATCTGAAATGCATATGCAGACTCAAAAAATCTACACTAGTGTATTTCATTACCCAGAAAATATTTACGCTCATTTAAAAAACAGTCAAAAAGTGTGTCTCATTCTCCAAACATTTAAAACGGACAGTCTAAATTATTATAGAGGAAAATAACAGTAGAGTATGGTAGTCAATTTCTTGCTAACATTAACTGAGAATACTCCCTACCATCTCGTCAGGAGTTTGACCCCTGTATGATCACTCTCTCCGATAAAAATACTTCTTTGTGCTCATGAACAGAGAAGAGATTAAACGGGGTTGAACAGCTTCAAAATGAATGAGTCATGAAATGACGTTGTTTTTAAACATTTTTATTTATTGAGAAGAGAAAGTTAATGTAAAAATTAAGACGGTTTTTCTTCAGATTAAAGTGCTTGAAATTGGTTGGGTGAAGAATCTTCTGTTTACACAAAAACTAGCCCAGGGTAATTTAGATGAGGTTGAGTCCCAGCTTTGCCCACATTGCAGATATGGAATTTGAGAGTTTACACAGAAGAATGAGCTGAGCTCGCCAATTTTTGACAAGTCAAAACAACTTAGGTGCATAATTTTTAGCTGTTGGCCTGCCGTACCACAAACTTTTTAACTTGTGTCACAGTCTTTCTCCTAAAATTGATGTCTATAAAAGCTTAAGCTTTTAATATCATTTAAATACTTAAATAGTGCAAAACATGGAATGTTTAAACCATTTAACATTTAACCTTCTCCTAACAAAATAAATAAAGTCCCATATCTTATATTTTAGTGGAGCCCATGATCTTGATGAGCTTACAGCCAGAAGTGCTAGATCTTGTGGTGGATCACACACACTTTTAGACCCTCAAAAGAAATCTGTTGTTAAGACAACACTTTATTATCGAGAAGATTCATTGCAAATTCAAGCAGCTACTGAGCCAGTTTTTGAAAAGGATGTCATGGGCAGAGATGGTCATATTTACAAAGGGCGAAATGAACATCTTCCTCCAATAGTGCAGTAAGTATCACAGATTCTCATGCTGTTTTAAATCTAAAACTATGATATTTATGCAGTTTGCTATTGCGATGCAGAAATCAGAAGGCATGTAAACCTCAGGTACACAGGACTTATCAGGGTTACCTCATGGTAAAAACAAGCCATACACAAACATGTGCAATTAGTATTCTAAATAAACAATTTTTTTGTTACACATTCAAACAAATTACAGTAAACAATAACACTTATAAAGATAGACCATAACCATGGCAATGCAGCAAAAATATGCATTTGGTTTTATCAATCTCGTTTTAGTATTAGCAAGCATTTGGTATTAGCAAACTGCAATCGTAAAAATGTTTTTCTAGAAAAGAGATAACTGTTGGACATCCACAAAATGACATGCCTATAATGCCAAGACCATCAATTCAACAAAGCAGAGCTGAAGTTGATATGCTGGCAAGTGGATTCAATGCACAGCAACTGGCTGCTCAAAAACTTGCTTAAATAGTACAGGAAATTTTGTTAAAAAATACAGAAGTCTATTATTTATGAAATTAATTCTCTTGGTCATTAAATGTAATTTGAAAAGCAAAATGTGAAATTGTATGATGAGATGTTATGAAATTAAATTTACCACTTATTCAATTGGTGTTGTCTACAATAAAAGTGATTTAAATTGTGTGTACAAATGTAAGTGGCTGTTTGTTTATGAAAGCCAGAAGATGGTGTACCAACACTTTACAAGCTGGGTACACTAAATATGGAATATCCCACATAAATGTTCTTGTTGAATTACATCAAAGCCATTAGGGAAAAAGTCTTTATTCCTGAATCAGTGACTGTTCACCCCATTCGTTACTGTAGGATTTTCAGGGTTCTTGTCTTCTTTCATAATCTTCATTGAAAAATCTACAACTGGATATCCTTGAGTGAGACATCCCATTGATATAACATCAACATTTGGCCCCATAAAGTCCTCTATGTTATTTTCCGTGATTCCTCCACTAGCTTCTATTATTAAATAAGGGAATGACTCTTTCACTTCTCTAGCAGCATCATGCAAAGCACAAGGAGCAAAATTATCTAGCATCACAATTTCTGCACCTGCAGCAGCTGCACATTTTGCTTCTTCGACACTCCTACATTCCACTTCAATTTTAGTTGAGAAGCCACACACTTCCCTGGCTTTTTTGACAGCGCTTTTGACATTTCCGACAGACCAAATATGATTATCTTTTAACATGATCATTGAAGATAGGTCGTACCTATGGGTTGACAAACCACCTACAAGCAAAGCATATTTCTCAACAATTCTGAATCCTGGAGTAGTTTTTCGAGTGCCTGCAACCTCTCCATGCCAGTTTTTTCTCAATTTTATCTTACTAAGGTTTCTACATTGTGTCGAAATGCCGCTGGATCTGGTTAAAATATTGAGTGCCACTCTTTCGCCTAAAAGCAAGTCTTTGGCCTTTCCATGAATATACGCAACATTGCAGATCGGCTCCAGGCTTGTTCCTTCTTCATAGACCCAACTTACTGTGCAATTAAGTTCACTGAAAACAGTATTAAAGAAAGGAACCCCGCTCAGTACGCCTGGTGACTTGCATAGAAGCACAGCTCTTTCTTGTTTATCTCCTACGACATAACCTCCGTAATCGAAGCTAGGAGTGTCTTCTTTGAGCCAATATTTTACCTTTGCGACCAGGTCTATTTGAGGAAGCAGACATTGCTTATGAGAAGTGACGTTCTCGCTCATGACCAATGTATATCAAATGACACAAACGAAACGAAGAAATCGATGAGAACGCCGGCCGGTATCTGGCAAATATAATGCTAAGAACGACTGTGGCGGCATATTTGTATTGCCTCGTTCAGAATTTCAACCAAACAACAAACAACAACACGTAAGGGCCTTAGAACCGTAATATACGAAGAAGATCAAAACGGGGAAATATTATGAATTTGAAAAATGTATAGGCATTCATTAGTTAAAATTTTATTCGTCATTTTAAAACTAATTAAAATATCAACTGGTTTTCTGGACATTGAAGAATTAAAAGAACTGAAATATGGAATCGAAATCACGAAGAAACCAGTTTTATTATCGGTAAGAAAAGACTTAAGCATAACCGTATTTTGCTCATGTTTACAGTTTAAGTAATGATGTCGTCAATTACTTCTGGATGAGAGCATAACTTGTTTTTTAAAGGGTAAATTGTAAACATTTTAATTAATATTAAATTTTTCATATAACTTGAAGTTACACTGGTCAGTAGTTAATGAATCGAAAGGGCCTTGGTTTTCTCCAAGAATTCACTGGCATACAATTAAGAAAACTATATTCATCCCGTCAATACATTAGTGAAATTGTAACAACAGAAATACGTTGAAGTCTTGACAGTATGTATAAAATGAATTAACGTCAATAAACTATGCTTAATGAAAATACACCCAGCGCAGATGGAGATGATGGAAAGTTTTATTTTATATTATCAAATGAAACTGTATATCAAATCATTCTATATAACAGACTGAAACCTTGAGCTTTTGATGTGAAGTATTGTTAGAGCCTGTTTATTCTGTCACAGGCAATTTTGTGTCTTTGTATTTGCAAAAAATTGATCATAGATTTGGAATCTATAAGTTGAAATTAGGCTGTGCTGAAAATTCCATGTTGGTTTGGCTGTCAGGCAGCGAATTAGCCTATTTTTAGAACCTAGCTTTTCCTACACATTTCAATGCAATTTGTTGCTGTAGCGAATATTTTTCACCACAATAGCATATCTGGGTCAAATCTAAAGAAATATCTAAATATTCAAAACAAGGTATCCTGGACCGAATGGTCCAAACAGCGTGAAGTTCTCAGAATAAACTAATTTCAAGCAATGATTTCAAATCTGAAATCCATTTTTGAAAAAGGTGTGTAAATAGTGAGATACAGAATCAATGATATCAACCGGGAATGGCGAATATGATCAAATTAACCTACCTTTCAGCTGGCAGGTGAAATGAAATCATCACATGTTTAAATGCAATATTTCTATATTTCTATTTCTAGGAAATATTTGATACTATGTATTTTGTAGTGGTTCAAAGTTAGTTTTTTGGTTGAGCATTTGGTTGAGCATGTATTTATCAGATATTTTTAGGTAAAATTTGTTTTTTATAACAATCATCAGGGGCGGATCTAGAAATTATTCTGAGGGGTTCTAAAACGTAAGCCTTGGTAACCCAGGGTGTTGCTATGCACAAACTCCGTACCCCTGCTAATAAGCCATAATGAAATGAAAGCCTTCCATAAACTAAAAAGCCTGGATGCCTTGATTTATATAGTAATTTTTGGTTTCAGCTTTTATGCCAATTGAACGCAATTTGCAGCTCGCCCCTTTTATATTCACTTTAGGGTACAAAAGTATAGAAACTGTAGTCAAATATGATATGATGGCCCGCAGTGGCAAAAGGCCCGAGCCCACAGATTTTCAAAGCAAAATTTAATTTTTGACTCTTTGCAGCCATTTATTAGAACTTGATCAGCTTGACCAAAATAATAACGTGGCTGGTGGAATGAAGCCCTTGAAGTGCAGTGCAAAAGTTGAACACAGGGATTCAAACACAGCATGCATCGCCAAACCAAACAAAGAAGGCCCTGAACGTTTCGCTATGGGCCTGGCGTTTTGAGTATTTTTATGTATTTGAAATTCTTAGAGAAAAAAGGATTCGCAGGAATATAAGTAGGTATAAAAAGGAAACCCCTTTTGGTCAATAATAGTAAGGGCAAGTTTTTGAGATGTTTTTTATGTAGTTCTTGAATGATTAAAAAAAGAATAACAAGGGCTCGGGCAAGCTTTATCCTCTGAATATAAATCATACCTCATGGTCTATGAATAAGACATGAAACACGGAGTTGAAACTTGAAACCGTTCTGTTATATAAACCACAGCGTTTACAAGTTCTGCCGTTACAGCATCGAGCATCAGGTAAAGATCGTGAAAAGATCCACGAAAACATATTGCAAATTTGCGCCTAAGCATTCGTCGCGTGCTGTATCATAATTCAACTCCCCCTGGTCAACCTCAACTCCCCCTGTTCAAGCTCAACTCCCCCTGGTCATAAAACCACTATACATTTGACTGTAGATTGAAGCGAAGAAACTCCCCCTGGTTTGTCGGTATTCTTTGATGTTTTGGATTTTTGAAATCCATGGGTTCTCGCGCCAAAGTTTAGAACCCCTCGACCTGGCACCGTGATTGGCTAGATTCACTTCCACGGGTGCAGAAACTCGTATAATTTACAGGCCACGGGTTCCTTAAGTGGCTGGATATAAGAGGAGACAATGCTTTCCGAGTCTGTAGAATGCTATACAGGACAACCAGGGGGAGTTTCATAACACTTCAATGCATGGACTGAAATAACAATGTTGAACAGTTGTGAGACGGGGCATTGAAGCGGAAATAACAATTTCAGGAGATGTGCATACTTCCCGGTATTATTTAAATGGTTTAAATAATAATAAACAAAATTGCGGTAGAATAAGCTTTAATCCCCAAAAAGTTTTTTCTCAAATCTGAGGGGTGCTCGAGCCCCCTTCGCACCCCACTGGATCCGCCCCTGATCATGCTATTGATCAATTACAAATGTCTCAAGAAAATATGTAGAGTTGATTAAGAATTGAAAACTAAAGCCTCATAAAACATTTTCCATTCACTTCCTGGAACCTTTAATCAAAATGAACTACAAAATATATATTTTGTCAAACAAAATTTTATCAAATCTTTGGGAATTAAGTATAGCTTCACAGCAAATATGCTAAAGAAGAGATACAAATGGTATTTGTACTATTTTTACTAAAGCTGAGTGATTTTGCAATGAGTGATTTTTTATTGCTCATTTCATAACATTATTGCATTACTCAAAGCAAGTTAGGATATTGTTAAAAATAGCTTTCAGTTTAAAATTTTCATCCACTTCCATGAAGCAGTTTTCCTTAAAATTGCACCTCTTTTTCAAATGTTTTTGCATAAAAGGCTTCTTTTCTTTGTTTCCTTTGACAAGGCATACAAGGTCCATTACTTATGTCTCTCTTTTTTTGAAATAAGGTTTAATTTGAACCATGTGATAACTGAAAAGAATTTTCCCTGTATTTTAACATCAATTTTTGTTGTAGTACCAAAAAAAATCTTGATAAAATTTACTTTTTGGTTAAAGAAATTTCATGATGGAAAAAACAGCCATTCCATATTTGTTTGATTGTAAACTGCCCTTGTTCTTAAGCCACCCATGATTATATAAGCCACAGCAAATTGGGTACATGTAAAATGTAAGCTGCCCTTGATTATATGTCGCCTCCACAATACCATGCAGAACTACTTGGTTTGCAATGACAGACACAAAAAGGAATAAAAACCTGATTGTGTACTTAAATGGAAAATAGACATTAGAAATTTAATCAACCAGCAATATCATCCAGCATGGGATCATCAGTACCACCCAGAGGTATTTCTTCTTCGCCTTCTACATTATCACCCGCAGCTTCAAGGTAGCAGGAAAGCTTGACAGGATCTCGGAAAATGATGTAAGCCCCCTTGTCTATAAAGTACAGCAAAATGTGCCAAAAAATGATTACAAGCTGCTGCTAATATCCAAATAAGTACAGAAGGTTTTTTTCATGATGCCATTGACTTCTATTCATTAATCTAAAGCCTCACATTGATTTATTTTAATTCGTTGCTTTTGAAATTCTAGGAGATTAAGGAAAACACATTGCACCTTTCTTCAAAATATGGACAAATCTATCAATGTGCCATTCCCATTAGAGATATAAAACCAAAGGAAAGTGATACAGATTCCAAAAATGACACTGATGTCACTGTGCAGTCAGTTTTGGATTCTTCACTTCAAGGGCATTGTTTGTTTTATGTAAGTTTTACCTTGAATGAATTTTAAGCCTGTTCATTGAACTGGTTTTCTCTACTAATTTACAATTTGTACTGATAATTTATGCTTCTAGTATGCTAAGATTTTCAAGTTTGATATTATGTATCCTTCATGGCTGAAAGTAATGTGCTTTTCATTTCCCTATTTTCTTCTAGAAAAAGGTTTTGTGATTTTTAAGTGTAGGAATTAGGTCCATTCCCTGCACAAAAAGTTTAGTGCTCAGCTTACCTTGGATACAAGTCTTTGGATAGAAATAGTTTTTTATTTAAGACTTCATCCCTCAACTAGTTACAAAAAGCAGCAGGCTCAATGGTAAACTTAATGTGACACTTAAGTTTTCCCATCTTTTTTACTTAGACACTTAATTGGTGGACCTACAAAGTTTGCTACAAGAAGGAAATAACTCAGTATCATGAAGGTATCAAGTTTTTTCTATCCAAACATATTCTCGTCCTTACAATATATATTTATTTATATATATATAGATTTAATTATTTAGAGATTTTGTGATACTTCTGGATTATGTTATTTCTAGGGCACTAAGGCCTTAGTTTGATTTTTTCTGTTTCTGGTTAATTTCTTGGCAATTTAATCTTAGTAGAATATGTTTTATTACAGAAAATGGCATTGTACATGGAGATGTCATAAGCCTTGGAACATTTCATTCAGAAAAGGAATGGAATAATACGGTACCCCTTTATGCTTGAGAGAATTCCTTTGATTCCTTTTGGCTTTGCAGTTAACATTTTTATTGTTCAACAAGTTTTGTTAATGAGCTTGAAATAAAGGTGCCATGTTAATTGCAGCAAGATGCATATTTTATGAAGCATTGCATTTTTATGAAAAAAGAGCTGCATGAGACTGTGTCTTATGTAGACTAAAATGGCCTTAAATGTCATTGATAACATAAAAAAAACTCTTTTAAAAGCCACAAACGCAGCAATGTAAAGTATTATATAGGTATTTTGAGCATTCATGGACATCCTGTAAGATATGTTGTCAATTTATTTAAAAACATAATTTTTCTGCTTTTTAGAGTTCACAGAGCAAATCAAAAGAAATCAAATATCATTATCATAAGTATGTCAATGGTTCAGTTTGTGATCTTGTTGGGAAAAAGAGAGAAACCACTGTTAAGGTAATTTCATGTCAACACTGTTTGTATTATGTTTATTGTTGTCCAAACTGGTGTTTTTATTTGAGAACGAACATTTAAGAACTGATAAAATAATGGTGTAGGCCAACTTGCAGCTGTAGCATTCGGAGTTCATATGGATTGTAACTATGCCTTGTTATTAGTTTAAATATGCTGTTTAGATAAGTTTCTTTTGAAATTAGATTGAATTTTGTATTAAAATAAAATAACAAACAAAAAACCAGCAAATGAAACTAATCTGTGACAAAAAGCAAACTGGTTATTTGTCAATTGATTTGCTTAACCATATTGTCAATGCATTTGCTTAACCATAGATAAAGGACTTGTACTGCTTTGTACAATGCTGGGTTTATTGTGTTGCTAGCAACAATCATACGCCCTTTTTTCTGATTTGTCATGAAGTTCTCAAGTCTTATCCATACAAAAGAGGAATAATTAAAACTTGTAATTCACCTTATGCGATTAATTCAGCCGGATTCTTTAAAAATGTTCGTAATCAAGCTTAAGTATGCTTCTTAATCACTAAATTGGTTCTTGGCTACACTTTGACATCGGACCATGTATTTACTTGGTAACCATTAGAGACTTTCTACAGGTAACCATTTGATGTTGAATTAAAATAGGCAAAGCCTGTTCTTCATCAATTTACCATCTATTCTTCATCGACTTATTTTTGTTAAAAAATCTGCTATAATAGATGGATTTAGAAATTTTTATATACGTAAATCCCTATTTAATTTTTATTTATGTCTAGGATTCTAGTGCTACCTCAGCCCATTTTATTATTTTTCTGCTTGTAGTTCTTTTGCAACGAAGATATGGTTAATGCTGTTGTCTCCGTTGATGAACCAGAGACCTGTGTGTACACGATTAATGTGCAAAGCAAATCACTTTGTACACTACCACTCTTCAAACCGCCGAAAAAGGAAAGTGCTAAGGATATAACCTGCTCGCCAGCTTTAACCAAGCACCAGTACGACAAGTATCTCCTAAAAGAAGAAGGTTAGAGCTGTTTGTTCTTCATCTCAAATATTTTAGCAAACCGTTTCTCGTTTTCTATCTGACAATGTTCTTGAAAGAAAAATAATATCTTTCTTAGAGTGGTGTGTGTATTTACTTTTATTAAGAAGAAAGAAGTGTTAATGATTTCCTGAAATGGCTATTTTTGTAAAAGAACCCTGTATAAGAACCTTTTAAAAGAGCCTTGGGCTAGACAGGAAAGCGTTAGAAGCTTAATTGAGCAAGAAAGTCAGATTTCTCTGTAGTATTTTCCATAAAGGAACCTCGTGCGTTACTTCATTTTGTATTGACAAGAAAGTCTTATGTTGGGAATGCAAGTGAAACGGTATGGAACTTGTAAATTTCGAAGACATATCTTGCATCTGTAGAAAAAATAAAAAAGAAGAAAGAAGAAGAACGCCTGCGTGCAGCTGAGGCAGAAAAGCGAAAAAAAGTTCTTCACGAGGAAACTTTGTCCGATCCTCTTGGTAGTTTCGTAACAGCTTTTCAGTCCTTTCTAACAACACCCGCACAGGCTGCAAAAGACAAATCGAAGGATGGCGCACCAAAAGATGACTTGAGTAATTTCTGGAAAGACTTTGGTATTGATCTATCAGGTTAGTTATCAACTTTGTTTTTAAATTTGGTGATATTTTCAAAAAGCTTCTCATGGTCCCAGGATGAAGTAAATAGGTTTAATCTTAAGTCTGAATCATCTATTTGTAATTTCATGTGTGATATCTTGGTCAGTCTTTCAAAAGTAGTTATTTTGTTATCGAAAGTATCGTTTAATTACTCGATTGGACCTATCAATGGTGCCTACTTTTAGAGCACCAGACGTCCAGATAGAAACATTCATCAAATTTTTGCCAAAATTGACTTTTGGAAGATGGTATGATGAAAATGAGAAGAAATTTGTCTCAAGTGACCTGATTCGCCACGCTATACTTTTCTGTCACGCTTTCAGCACTGCCACATCATTCCTATAAATTAATTCCCTTAAGAACGTTTGTATTCAAAAGTTGGACTGAGTTTCTTAAAGCTTTTCGTAAACATGGCAGCAGAAATCGTGTGGTAAAAGTCAAATGACATGTGATTAAGGGAGCAATTTGACAATGAAAACATGTTGACGGTCCTTATCTAGAATGGCAATTTGTGTGTTGGATGCCATAAGATTTTGGGATAGTGATAAGATTGTTTGTAACCTCAACTCTGTGTTATGGGCAGATAATGCGAAATTTCAACCTTAAAAACAAAATTTTCCAGCTTATCGCTAAGGTAATTTGGTACACCAGAAAAATGCTTTATTATCATCCATGTGTTTTTCAAGGTACTATTGCAAAGCCTGAAGCAAAATCTGAGGAAGAGGTGAAAGGAAAAGAAGTGGAAAAAGAGACAAAAACTGATTCAAAAGATAAAACTGAAGCTGATGAAATGGTGGAAGAACTGAATCCAATGAGCAAAGGAGATGGCATGGTTTCCACCGAGGGAAAGCTGTTTGAAAAGAAGCTTAAGAAGGATGGGTCAGTTGCAGAATTAACAGATGAGATCAAGAAGCTGTTTTCTTTACAGGAAGCAATTGATGAAGTGGATAAGCAAGCAGAGGAATTGATAAAAAAAGACAGGGAAAAAAGAACTATATTTGTTAACCATTTTGGGAAATCTAAGCAAAAAGCTGAAAAACAAATAACCGACTTGAGAATGTTGTTAAACCAACTGACAGTTAAGAAAAGCAGTGAGAAGGGTGATAAGAATGCCCAGCACTTGGAACTTATGATCAAGAAAATAGAACAAAACCTACGATTGTTTCAACAGCGGATTGAGTACGTCCTTTCAATTTTAATGCCTGCCCGTTACTAAGTTTTCTTGACATATTGCACCCTTTTTTTGTCAGGATCTTGAGTTTTCATTTTTCGGTCTCTCTTAATCTAGGAGCCTAGTTGCTCAAAAATGTATGCCCAAGGTATTCTATCTATTTTGAGCTTTTTGCGATGCTAGTTTGTTCCTTATTTGAAACTGGCTTTGAAAAAAGCAAACATTTTACAACATACTAAATGCAGTTATTCAACTAAAAGCAACAATTGTTCCTTATTACTTGTCATTACCCGTTTTCGGAACCTTCTATAATATTCACATTTTAGCAACATATCCCTGGCAATTTCTATACCATTTAAAGTTACACTGATCAAATTGGAAAGATTATTCTTAGAACCAGAAGATCAACATTCATATATTTATTCTATTTTATATGTAGTGTTTTTTCGTAAGAGCCATTTATCAATACTTTCCATTTTATTTCTTTTCCTCAAATACTTTTACGCTTTGTGCTATTTTTTGCATATCTATTTTAGCCGTCTAAATAAAAAGATGGAGAACTCCTTGAAGCGAAGTGAAGCGTTTGAAAAGAGATACAAAAATATACAAGACATGTTTAGTGGAGGCAAGTCTTCCAAGAAAAACCCCCGAACGAAGGAAGAGCCCCTTGTTAGTCTGAATGAAGTTTTGAAAAGCCTTCGAAATGAACGTGATGAAGTGGATCGAATTGCTAAATCAGGTATGTCTTTTTCTGAGACAGTTTTATGCAATTTATTTAAGATGGTTTATGAAAGCCTTCTACTGAAATGATAAAATAATTGTGTTATGTACTTGAAGAATCTAAAATTTTAAGGAGATAATGGTTTTGGAAAAGTAGACCAGTTTGAAGTTTTACACAAATGGGTTTTTAGAATCCTTATCGTTTTTATCATAAGAGAAACAATACTGTTTTTATCCAACATTTTGAATAGTATTGCTTTTTCGCAGTGTAACCAGTTTCATACCTATACTAGTGTTTCATGCAAAATCATATAGTTCTACATTCAACGTGATTTCATTCTCTATTTTTTCCAAAATTTTTATCAGTTAAAGGAGGCGATTTGAATGTGGTTCACCAGGTGATACTTAAATCTGCAAACCATAGGTGTAGCAATAAGAATCGAACCCAATGAATGACCATTGCTTATTACTTCTGACCATTGAGGCTTTGACATATCTTTTATCCTGTATTAAAAAATGTTGAGGTAACGCGATCTGTTTTCCACTATAAACATTTAAATACTCATTACATTGAGTCATTACTTTCGGAATACTTTGTCTTCAATTTAATGTCATAGTTCTATTCCGCGACTGTATCGTTTAAATTTTAGCCCAAGTTTACTTAATAATTAGACAAATTCACAATAGTTCTTTCAACGAACTTAATCGATTTGTCTACAAATGTCAAACAAATAATGTTAGATTGGTCATCAAGTTTCATGAATGGTTGTTTATTAATTTGCGGATAGGTGTTGGGGGGATTAAAAGAGTTAACTACGCCTAGGGGTAATGAGTCAATCGCTCATCTTTATTAGGACATCACGTGGTTTGGTTAAGCCAATTGTGACTTATGGAAGAATTGGCATTCTTGTAATCTAAATACTCTTTAATTGTTACGCAGGCATTTATATCTCAATCAGATAGAATATGCCATGTATTTAGCAGGCTTTTAGATGTCAGTTGAAGATTTTCGTGAATTAGGTAATATGTAGGACTTGTTTGTGGTGTGCAAAATTCTTCTCGTTTCCACCAATCCTTTTTGCTACTCACAAAGTTTGTCATTTCTTTTCATCTTGTGCATAACTGAAGCTAAAGTAAGTATCAAGTATATTGATATGAACTAAAGCATTGAAAGATTTATAAGCTTGAATTATATAGCATAAACTCTAGTCACGTTACTCTGCGTTTCATTAGTGGACTTAAACAAACCGCTTAAACATTTTCTTAGAAATAGTCTATTGAAATTTCAGTATTTAAGAATTTTGTGTAAGAAGAAAGAAACACAGGATATGCTGTCCACTTGATTCTCTGTGATACTTGCAATGAGTAATAATACGAAGGAAAAAGTCAGGAACAAAGCAACACGACAACGAAAATCTAATGTACTGAAATAGAATTTTGCTGTATTAAGATAAATTTATTTCGTTTCTATTATTAACACATTTTGTTACAGAAACCACTTGCTCCCTATGTCTTCATTTGAAAGTTGAGCTTTGCTTAGGATAGGTTTGGAATTAAATCCAAAAATTTGACAATTCTCTTTGCAATCCTGGCCACCATTTGCTAATTGATGAATACTAAAGAGCTGGTCTCCTGCTAGCGACACAAATGATTCCGAAGGCGCTACCCTGATAATATAACAGTATTGCCAAAAAGCTAAAAGCAGATTTCAGAATGATCCATTGAAGAATGAATCTTTTCCTTCCAATATTTCTGACTGGCTAGCCTTTCGCTATGATAAAAAAGACTAAATTCTGTCACTACCTTGTCTCCCTGTCGGTTGTGTTAGTCTCTTCGTGGAGCTTTTGTCACTTTTATCCCCGTGCTTTTGATGATTTAAGGTTCTATTGTTTAGGGGACGAATTAAAATCACCCGAAGATACAGATGATGTGGATACAGAAAAGGTTGTGGCTGACACTTCAGAGAAAGAATCCAAAAAGCAGGTTGATCCTATTCTTGATGCTGTAATTAAGATGCTTAAACTTGGAGGAAAAAAAGAGAAGAAAGCGGAAGAGGCAAGCAAGTCAGAGTCAGCTGGGAGCTCCAGTGAAGATGACCTGGATTCGAAACAGATTAAGAATTCTTTGCCGTCAGAACCTTTGTCTTTTAAGGAGGGCACAGATAAAGGCGATACAATAGGCGACAATAAAATCAAGGTAAAGATCACTCATCTTGGCAGCGATGACGTGAAGCTACTTGAAGAGGATGAAAAGCAGGAAGAGCTTGCTGGAACCAATAATGCAAACAATAGGCTCAGAAAAGCTGGTAAAAAGATCGAGAATATGGTTAAAGAAAAGTTGAAAAAAGCTGGTGTTGATCTTGGAAGTGAGTTGCCACGATTTTAATCTTAGATAGCAATTTATGTAAAATTTTGGGCTAAATTAACGGGCATTTTTTGTTTGATTATGTTTATTTGTAGATTGTTTAGGAAACTACTTTCTTCGAAAAAAGTCTCATTTTCTATAAAGTCCTCAGTGCAACAAATTGTTGCACTGGAAAAACATTGTTTCTTGAATATGTTTAATTTTTTTCTGATTATTTTAAAAAACATTGCACAAGAGGTCCTCGTCACGGTAGTGTTTTCAAAGGAATCCTGTGAAGTTGAGGGTCCTTTTGTGCCAAATCTCTTTTTGTCACAAATAGGCACAAAAATATTTGCCGAACCTAAGCCACGAGACAAAGTGATATGGGATTTCAATGCATCTCCCTGAATGTTGAATTGCTGTCATTTTATGTCATCTACGAAAGCAAAAATTTTCATTCGACACCTTCATTTCGATTTTCCCTATTATTTCTAAATAACCTGTTAGCTTCTGTGTTCATAATTTGCATCTAGATATCATAAATGTATTTAAAGTCTGTAGCCAGATTTGTAGAATTGAAATCCACGAGTTTCCCATTATGCTTTCCCGACAATTAAGTTCGGCATGAAGACCAATATTCAATCCTCCAATCTTCTTTTTCTTGATGAAAGAAGCAAAGGTATTTTTTAATTTCTTCAGTATTCTTTCCAAAAAAATGAATTTTGCGGTTTTTTACGCTTGAGGTAAAACTGTACTGATGTTCTCGCAAAATTACTCCAAATGTATAACAACAATTGATTGGCAAGGAATGATAATGACGACTGAATGACGTAAGAGATTAGCTAGGTTTTTCACCAACTGCACTGTTCGCTAACACCTACACACATTTGCTGTCTCAGTAATCAACGGTCAACATCAAGATTTGTTTCAATTTACATTTTTCTATTCTTCTTATGTTTTTAGCAAACATAAAGATAAAAATAATAACAAATGATGGGCCATTGTCATCTTTATCTTCGAAAAGTAAAACAGACTTTCTCACTGATGAGACCGCAACGCAGTTCAAAGACATGCTTGTCAACATGTTGGTATGTATTATTCTTGTTGAGTTTGCAATTTACATTTTGATCTATGTGTAAAGGTCCTCCAAGTTCAAATAGTTCCCCTCTAAAAACTATTCAAATGTTTGATATAGCATCTCGCAGAAGGAACCTAGCACCAGATTTAACGTTGGGGGGCTAAATTACAACTAATTTATCCCGAAAAAAATTTATATGTTTCTAGAACATGAGAATGCGCCTATTTTCTAAATTTTCTCGCTTACCATTTCAGCGTATGGTTTGATATTGACAAAAATACCTTTGAAAAGGGCAGATTATTCTCAAGCATCGCAGCATTTCTATTGCTAATCCAAAATCAAACATCACTACGATTTCGCTTCAAAGACAAGAGAACAAATACAAAGTATTATTTTACGGTGAAATTAGAATGGGAGAATGAGGGAATTACAAACCCAACGTTTGCAAATATCTTCATGAAATTAAAACGGATATTTCAAATGTTTTCTCAGATAGATATAAGTAAAGTTGCCCTTTGAAGCCTCGACTTATCCATAATGTTACAATCCAAGGGCGGGACAATGGTGAAATTAGTTCTTAAGCACAACTTCATGCATATACAAGAATTTATTGGAGAATTCAGGCGAATAGACTAATACAAAAACACCAAGTTGATATTATAATCGAAACAGCTTTCCAAATATTCACAACACTTTCAGCACATCAATTTTACAAGAGTCACTATCAGCAAAAAACTGTCCTTAACCAAAAAAGACCTATACGATCAGTTTATGCTGATTTGCAGTTCTCTGTACTCTTGAAACATTTGTGTTTTAAATTGTATTTGAAGCCGTAAGGACCTTTTTGTGTCGCTTGGGGATGGTTCAGTGACATTGGCTTCAAGAGCAGGGAATAAGCTTCGAACACTTTATCAAACTTCCTATAGTGAATGTTTATTTGGCATTAATTCTTAATTTTGGATCTGCATTTCATCGCACTATTTAGTTCTAAGGTATTGGTGTATTTTTGGTGTAAAAACCTTTATTCGATTTCCTAATCACGTATTTCGTCAATTTTTATGATTATAATGATTTAAAGTCGTAAAATGAACAGTCAGGCGAAATCATGCTTTCAGATCTTTTTTCCTTTGAGCATTATTTTATTTTGTCCTAGTCTCTGCGTTAGCAAAGGCTACTAATAACTATAGAAGATATTTTTAAGGACAAAGCTTGCTCAAATTCCTAGATAGGACTTATTACTTAAGCGGACCTACCCTGCATCGCGCAAGTTTGGTTTTGAACATCATACCGTATTTTTAAATCTCATTTTTCTTTGCTTTTAGGGTGGCGGAACAGAAAAAGTTAAAGAGGAAAAAAGACAGTCAAGTATGGAAGACAGTTATAAGTTTGTCTGGGACAAAGATGAAGGCACCGAAGAAAGAACTGAGGAGAAAGATAGCAAGTCTTCTTTGCTTTGATCAATTTCCTTTCAAAATTTTGAAAAATTGTCGATCCAGCTGCTACATTTGATAAATTTCTCACAAATAGTTTTATGCAGTTATATATGTCGGCAGATTCAATTGAGCGATGGTTCAGATCCATAAGTTGTTGGAAGGTCGTATCAGTCAGGTTTTAGTACATTCACAGACTTTGTTGCTTGAGATCAAATAAACATTTTAAACTAATGCTTACGATTCCCCTCGTCCTTTCGCATGATAAATTTATTAGAAATACTTTATTTTCTGGGGAATAGAAACACCTGCGAATCAAGAGCATATTAATCCTTTGAAAGCTGTCTGCGATTTTCTGATGTTCATTCTTTGTTCAAATCTGGAATGAGTGATTTCAAAATGCTTTACACTTCTATAAATTTATTTGATTTTATGTTTTATCTCTTAAATCTCGACTTCTTCATACGCTTCTAAATTTTATGTTTCGCAATAAAAATTTTAAAGTATGTTTAAATGTTAGTCATTAAATATAAGATGCTCATTCCAGATAATCGTTACAAAGAATGATATTATTACAAAGATGAAATTTATGTAAAGATTTATATTGAACATTCAATTACACGCTTGAAGGCTCTTGCGCAACCGGCATGCTTTGCGACTGTATTTTCAAAACCGGCCTAATAACGTACTGCATGAAATTACAAATACGGCCCATTGCATCTCGTGTAAAATACCACTACCGCAAAGCATGTCGGTTGCTCAGGAGCCTTCAATTGGTTGCAGCTGAATAGGCCAATAAGTATTAAAATGATCTGCTAGGACCGTGGATAGACTTTACGCTTTATTCTGATTTTAATTTTATTTAGAGACAATCGAGATGTTTTCATTAAACTTTGTCGAGATTTTCCTCTATTAATAAGACGCCATTACTGAAATCGCATTAGATCGTATGCCTGATGCTGCAACCCATGAGCATGAATAATGCAAGATGTTATAGTTACTGTTTGTCTTCAGACAATAACAGAATTGTGATTTTTGTGTAAAGTCGGCAGAATAAGTTTCTCTTTGCTTGTGGAGTTTGCTGTTTAAATTATTTTACATGTTGTAAAACAAGTGAAGAGAACGTTGCCTCAAAAAATGAAGACCTACGCCAATGCACGTTTGTTGAGACAACATCTTCACCGTCTAAAAATCTCTGCTTATGTAAGCATCCTAGTGATTATCCTCAACAACTTACTAATATCTACAAATAGACGCTTCCTTTTCAGAAAATTTGTAGAGTGTACAAAAAGCAACTTGGGTCTGAAAATTTTGAGGAACCTGCCAAAGAAATCAGCCCTCTAAATAGCGAGCCTTAAGCGAAACCAAAATCGAACAAATTGTATCGTAATTTTCATATCTTGATTTTCATATTTATAGTGTTTATTTGATTGGATATAAGTCTTTTTTAATTGAGGGGTTAGACCAGTAGCGCTGAACTGTTCTAAATACTAAGAAAAGTTTGGGGAAAATCTGTTGTTTCTTAATCACCGTCCTTTAAGGTCGGAAGAAACTTGTTCACCATCCCGTTCATCAAAAAGTCCCCGTCATCACAATGCAGAGTGCAACTACCTCCTTTGAAATGTAACGAATATGGGTAGCTAGTATGTTACCTCAAATACTTTTCAGGAATTATTGAGGGGCCATTCTTCCCGCAGCCCCCCTCCCTCCGTGTCCTCGCCCCCTGATGACGCTTCAAAAGCGTTTTTTCATTAATGCCTTCCATACTCCATCTGAAATCATACCTTGATTCCAGGTTGCGACCTTCTGGCTCAAGGACAGATTCTCTGACGACATAGAATCCTTGAAACACAGTATCTGTGCATAGTTAAAGCTGTTTTCGACAAAAGCCCAATCGGCTGGGTCATGATTTGCGTTCATTTTCAGCTGTTTGCACGGCGAATCAAAATCCTCTATTTTGGAATCAGTAAATGCCTTACTGTTAAGCCAGAAAATCTATTGGAAACGCCTTTCTATTGATTGGTGTTTATCCTAGTAGTTAACTTGCAAGTTATGCCGGATTAAGGAAACCATTTTGCAACTGTAATCTGATATTTGGCCATAGCCCACAGCAGATATGCGAAATTCAAAAATTTTATAGCACGATAAAGCGATTGAATATCGACAAAAACATGATTCTAGTTCATTTGTGGTCAACCTTTGTCGGAGAAGTAAATTTTTTATGAGCTGATTCCGGCATAAATCAGCTACCATGCTATACTATACAGGTTGTACGCTGGTCGCTATGCTAAACATCAAGCCTTGAATTTATATTAACTCGTATGTTTTCATGACAACAAATGTTTGAGATTGACTGCGTAACTATAACATGGGCGGTGGCGTTTTCATAAAAACTTCCTACTACAAAGCTCATTTAGGATAGAAAAATAGAGCATTCCGTTTAATTTGTTGCAAGATTAAGACTAAAGTATTTACTCTATGATACCGAGAGATTTTGTCAAGAGACGAAGCCTACTGCTGTGATTGTAGCCAAGGGATCGTATCCAGAGAGAAAGAAGAAATCGCTGTTGCAAAAGCAGTGAATAACTGCATTTGATACCAAATTGGAATATGACAGGGTAAAGCAGAATTCTGCCTTTATATCGAGATATACTTTTAAAGTTTCTTACTGGAAAGATGGAATGCCAACATTGACCAACAGAAAGCTCGTGTGGGAATAAATCAATATGACCGAACTATCGCCTACTTTCCAGTCTAACTTAGAATTTACCCCAGGACAGTTGAAAAGGCCAACGATTTCTCAAGAAAAGTAAGTTGTGATTTCCTTCTACTTCTCAATTGGATCTTTTGACTCGTCTAGTTGTTTTTGTTTGATTTTGTTAGGACTATTCAACTCTACCATAAATCACTCGATAGATGCCAAAGGGATCTAGAAGGATTATTCAATGTTAAAGTATTTAATACAGCACACACTTTTTGTAGGAACTAAAAAACTGAAGTCCAGGCTGGCTGTTCTTAATTTTTGCCGAAAATTATTATGTTAGGGTGTGAGCAATGCAATTGCTAGCTAGTGTGCTCTTGGGGGTGTTTAGGCCTAATTTGCCGATAAGTTTGAAATTTCACTTTAAAAGCTCCCCTAGATAGCAAAAAACTCTTCGTTTTTGAGATGAAATTTTTCAAGTAGGTTCCAAAACATTGTTTAAAAAACTATCGTACATTAACAGTATCTAATAGTGCTTTTGGCTTGTGTTCTTATACAATTTTTCTATGAAAAAAGAGGAGTGTAGATTCCTTTACACTTTTTTTTCATACGAACAATTTTATAGAAACACGAGCCTCTAAATTGGTCAAAAGTTAGGAACAAGTTGCGGCTGAGCTACTGTAAAATGCAATTTTGAACAACATTTTAAGAGACCTAAGAAAAATTAGGACATATCAACTTCTCCCCTCCCCCTATATCAATGTTGGTGTCGTTTGAGAGCTAATGTCCTAGCATTCGATTTTAGCCTATACAAACACCCCAACATTGATATAAGGGAGGGGGTCACGTTGCATGAAAAATCCATTGCATTTGGGAAGCAGTCTCATGAGTTTTGGCCAAGATTGTAGCAATCGCATCGCTTGAACCATTTAAGAACAATCCAGCCTCAGATTTTCGAAAAAATTAAGAACAGTGAGCCTGAATTTAAATTTACTGGTTCTTATAAAAAAGGAGTGCATTCTTCTTTTGCACATTTAACATAACATCACTCTTCCAAAGTATAAACAAAGTCGTTCTTCAACAGTATAATGAGTTCTCCTGCTATGTCCCTATGAGTGTATATGAAATCAAATGTCATAGTACATTTTTGAGCATTGGTTTTGGTTATATAAAACAATGAGTACAAATGAAGCTCCGTTTCTTTTTGTCTTCCTTGAAAGAAGTTGAAATTTCCACTGTGAGAAGTTTCGTCGTTTTGTTTAAAATGAACCTCAATATATGTTATTGTTAATTTTACAAAACCTGTTACGAAGCTTTCAAATCTTTTAATATGTAGCTAACCAGAGCACAATCAGACCGCCTTTTTTGAAAACACGGGTGTTATTGTCTCGCTCCCGCCAAATATTGCGGGGAAGTACACACTTGACAATTCTCAGGGGGTGACTAACAACCGCTGTTGAAATGTTTGAATAGGACATGACAAAGGCCTGTTACCATGGTTTATTGTCTCACCGAATCAAACAAACTCTCCTGTGTCTGATGTTTGGCATGTGGAGATGGTCAAGTCAGTTGACGTCTGAGAAATCGTAGAAAATCATATCGCACATTAATAATTAAGGAGAGATCGTGAGAAAGAGCGAGCCCAATAGCTTGTTAAAGTAGCCTTCGTTTTGGAGAACAGAAACCCGAAGGAGCTTTGAATACCAGAGAGGAACCCACGATGTGATGCCGGTCCGGAAGTTTTGAAAGATGGCGACTTTAGCCCTAAATAGTGCATTTTATAAAGAGCATCTTGGACGGAGCACCCTACAGCCTAAATTTCAGTCGAACCAGGTATTCACCCCAAAGAAAATTGACCGATGCACGATTTCCGATGCAAAGTAAGATCTTCAACTTCATTGTTCGTTTCAAGCTTTGGAAACTGCATTTGCTATCGTATCGTGGCATAGTTTTTTGCTCGTTGTCAACTTTTCTTGAAAAAGTTTGTTGCATTTATCCAGATCTAACATATATCCACATATATCTTATTTAGGGCGACACTCACTTCAATATGAAATTTGAACCAGTGTACGCAGATATCAGTGTCCATTATCAGCTGGATTAGACTAACTGCGAATTGACCTTCTACTCCCTGTTAATTATTACGATTAAATTGATCAGTTATTAAAGCTTTGCTTTATGCTCACGTCACGAGTGATTCTTGAATTTAATAGTGATGATTGTTACGGATAGGCCAAAGAAAATAAGCAGCCAAGTGTTTATTTTATAACCATTATGAAATGCTGTCTTTATATTGGGTACTGTAGGCTTTGTTTTGTTGCACATCCCCTTTTTTACAGATTTCCCTTTTTCCCAAATGTATATAGTAGCACCAAAAGGACCCTGGGTGAATGACCCCTTTGAAAAATAGAAAACCTTTTTAATTGGATAAATATACGATTTAGAAAAAAGCACGAAAAGTGGGTGCTTGTCGTCTAAGGAATATAAAAAACAGATATTGACAAAAAGGGAGGTAGAGATGTTTGACTTTTTGCGGATCAAAGGTATTGAAAGAGAGAAACGGTGACTTTGACCCATTGTACAATAAGATAACATGCTCTTTCAATATATAATTCCAAAGATACTGGAATAGTGACTGGATAGGAAACTGCGCAGACAACAATAGGCGATTACGTTTATCTTCCAATCGCGTGTTTTGGAAAAGTTGTAGGGTATAGTCATTTCCGGTTTTAGTCTCACGACCAGGACATTCACCGAAAAAAGCAACATCCAAGAATGGATTTCACCTATTTTAATGGCCAAATCGACGAAGAATTACTTGAACTTGTTGTCGAGGTAATGTAGTCCGTTTCTTTGTGTACTTTAAAGGCGCTGCAGCCATTATCTCTGTCTCCGCGAATAAGAATTTAAGTCATGGCGATGTAGGCCCTTCTATCAAACTTCAATATTTCATTTTCTAACGAGTAATTGCGAGAATGCCGATTGAACATAATGTATGTTCGATGAACCAGGGATAATGCTAGTGAAAATGTTGATTTACATTATAATTAGGCCTAGGAAGATACTTGTTTTAAATTAATGATGTTGGCTTTGGCTTGATTTTTCATCGACACGGCAGCAGCACCAGTCAACATATAAACAAATCACGAAACAATAAAATGGAAAGTTTCTCGTCTAATCATGTTTCCCGTTTTTGTTATACTTTTGAGGGTACAGAGCTGTGCACCCCTGTAGCAGGTGTACGTCTGGTTAAATTATTATTGATGTTTTCCTTTTAGGAAACCACTATTAAATTTTGTGATGACAGTCAAATTTTGTTATTCACCAACAAACGAGGAGCAATGCAAAGAAAAGGAAAGTTAAAGAGCCATATCGTAAGAAAAAGGGGGTGACTTTAAAGGAGAAAGAACATGATGCCCCTCAGATTTGTATGAATTCAATCATTAAGGGTGCTTTAGAATCGATGGCCAACAAGACGGTTTTGATGGAAATGTATGGAAAGTTCTTCAGAGGCTACTGGAACTTGCAGGACCTGCTGATACAATAGGCTTCCCAAGAGGTCTTTTTAAGAACAAATTGGAAAGCAAAACCAATTATCTGGATTCCATGTGGGAAAATTTCCAGAAAGTATGGAGGATGAAAATGTTAGAACAAATGTGCAAGCCCACTTGAAATGCTCAGCTATCAGGCAAAAGTTAATATTTCTTAAAATACTTCAACAATTGAATATGGATGAAATATGAACTAAACAGCTTGAAATATAGCTAATATTACAAAAATAATTCTAATAGAGAAATATTCATTTTCTGGTCTTTTTAACAATATACAAAACTCGTTATGCCAAAATTGCTGGTATTCTAGTTTTTATTACTAGCCCCCTCTATTACTGAAGCATTGAAACACTTTCCTCGCTTTCCAAATAAGAGGAAAGCTACATCTCTTTCTTTTCTTCAGAGGATTTCTCAGAGAGAACAAAATTTGTATCATTCGAAAAGGGGTCCACAGAAACTTTGTTCCGAATATTACCAGTTTTGTCAGCAAGACCTAAGGGTACAGTCTCATCAGAGCTATGTAAAATGACCCAGGGCTGTTTTATTTTGCCAATGCTCTTTTTGAAATCTGTGAAACCTCTTCATTTGTAAAGCACTGGTAAGGGCACCTCTTGAAAAAGTCTTTCAAGCTCATGCCTTTGTTCCCTTGGTTATTTTCATGACTTCTTTTATGTAAGAACTGTGTAGGCAAACTTCCAACAAGGAGGTCTTTTCTTCCAGTCTTTCCTACAAACAACATTATGAAATAATTTATTGTCAATATGAATACAAGATAAAGAAAATTTGAGTTGCCCCCCAACTTTGCTTCTAATTTTGTTAGATATTTTTGTCTCAATGACAGTTGATGATTTTGACACTTTTCTCAGGGGGACTTTCGTCCCATCAGGATCAGACTATTGCCTGCTTTGTTTATTCAACGGTGACACTGTTGATATTCTCAGTCGACCTATCACCAGCAACTGATTGATAGGAGTTGTGGGGGTCGTGACAGCTCCCCCCAATAATAAGTCAAAAATCGATTGAATTCCTAAGTAATATTTATATAACCAATTTCGTAGCCCCCCTACCCCCGAAAGGATTTTTTAATGAGATCTGCATCCAATCTTAATAATAAAACTCTTATAAAATAATAGGCAAAAATAATAATCAATGAAAGAAGTAATGAAAGTTACAGTGACTTACCGATCCTAAAGCAATGTTGATCAAAATGCCTTGCGCAGATGTAGGCCCTCTCTGCGTTGAAACTCCTATCGCATCTTTTTACTTTACACAAAAGCTGCGTTCTCCACTCCTTTTTTCTTTCATTTTTCGTTGAAAACGTAACAAGGGACAAATTAGCTTATCTTGGTAAGTCTACAACAGTTAACTACCGTGCCGAATAGCTGCGAAGCTCGTCATTATCAGTCAAAACCAAACAAACCGGAAATGATCATTCCCTACAAGTTTGAATAAGCAGTGATGCGTAACATGTTCTATTGTCCGCTTCGCAGTTTCCTATCCAGTCACTATTCGAGTATCTTTGATAATTCCCATGATGGCTGTGGAGTTGGATGTTTTCACTGGGAAATTGCGGCAGTTTTTCGGCAGTTTTTCGGCAGTTTTTCGACATGCTTCCACCTTGAACTCTTTTTTCCAGGCTACACTGCTCATCCTTTAGTTAAAGAGAGGGGCTCAGATTTTCGAAAAAAATAAGAGGACCATAATAGTGAAATGAAAAAACGTATGTAACATTACCATCGTTGCCGAGCAGTAAAGGGTACTCGTTCTTGGTAAACCCGCTTTTCTTTACAAGCGAGGCCAGCTGCTTGAGATTTAGGTGCAGAATTCGGCAAATATCGAAAAACGTTTATCAATACCGTAAATCCTCGAATTGAAAGCCCACCCCCCTCGAAAAAGCCCCCTCCTCGAATAAGCCCCCACCCTAGAACTACAAATTGTCAATAAGCCCCCCTAGCATAAGCCCCCACTGCTACCGTCAATTTTCAAATTGGACCCCTCAATTTGATGATTTTTGCCATCTAAGGTTGCCTGTGGCCTTTTAATAATGTCTTCTTGATGTCTACAATAATTTTATAAGCCCCCCCTCGTATAAGCCCTCTCTCGAATAAGCCCCCATCCAAAAATATCAAAAATGATTAAGCCCCCAGGGGGCTAATTCGAGGATTTATGGTAGGTCTGTGTGCATATATCAATAGGCCTGTGTGCTGCTATGGAAATCTGGTAGCAAAGCTGATTTTGAATAATTTTGCTGCTAGTTATGCAATACGTGGTCGTGGTCGCTTTCCGTATCTCGTCGTGGTCGTACTTGCTCGAAGATATGTTTTGACGCTTCTCAAAAAGTTGGACAGGAATGTTTACTGATGGCATTTGTTGCAGGTGCAAGGGCAATAAGAAGCAAATTTACCAAAGCTACAATTTCTGAGAAAGTCACATATTTCCTAAGTTCACGCCATAGAAAAAGTTGATCAATTCCATCTGATGTTGCACACCAAGAATATGTCCCCTTCAATTTCTAGACTGCAATCCCATATTTCTTGGAGAACATTTAAATTGTCAACCGCACTTCTTTATGCAGCCTCTACGTATAATGCTTCCATACGTAGGCTACACTTTTTAAGGATGCAGCAGGATCTGCTCACCTAGTTAGGCATTCGGAAACCTGTTTTTTCAGTTAAGGTTATTTTCTTTTAACTCGTTGAAATTAGCATCTTTTTGGCGAATGTTCAAAAGAAAGAAATTTCTGACGTTTTGTCCAATGCATCATACCACCGACAGTAAGTGGCAAGGAATGATGGCAGCAATGTGCGAAGATGGCTGTAAGCTGTTATTTGAGTCGACACACCAGACCTTGCTTCCCACGGAAATAGCAGTTGTTCACTATCAATAACAGAGGAATCAAAATCAAATCTTGATTGCAAAAGAACGTTATGAATTATTGCGCATTTTGTATTCTCAACATTGTGCTCTCGTACTGTCTAAAAGTATAAAGGGCACATTTATACTTCTAAATTTTTTTCGGGCGAGCAAACGTCCAACCCCCTCCCTACCCCCCCCCCTTCCGACGGCGCTGCTGTAAAAGTGTCAACAGATCCTTTTTGCCTTATTGTTGGTTCTGACCGGAGTATCCTTTATTCCAGCTTTAAAAGATACTTCAATGCAACTCCGAAAGTCCCCAAGACACCTTGGGGGAGACATTTAAGCTATGGCGGCATGGGGCCAATCAGTTTGCCAAGCAGTAACCGGCCTAAAGGTGAGCCACCTGTGCGTGTGGAAAAAGGGCACTTGCATTATGGCGCTGGAGTCATGCCACATCCAAGGTAAACAATCTACAATTAATAATTATGGAGACTCGTTTTTCTTTTCACCATTGACATAGATTTAACAGCTTTTGCATTTAACAAATATACATCAAACCTCTTTTAACACACCCTCGTTTTCAAATTCACCCTGATGTCATATTATTTTGTGTGGCGATGTAGCACCATTTCTCTCATTTGACATTAGCCCTAATTTTTGCTTTTATTCTAAGCTACGTAGCGCATGAAGCTGTACAATTCAAGAAAGTGATATACTCACAATCACATGTGCAAAATGTATTTTTCTTCTAACTTTAACGGTATTTATATATATATTTGCTCTATTTATAGTGCGATGACAATCCAGCAGTTCTACACGTTGACGCCATTAAGCAAAAGCAATGTTCGGACAAATGATCAGCTGTAAGTATTTTTGTATTTTGCCAGCTCCTTTACAGCAATCTTTAATATTCGGTCTTTATTTGCAACTGTGGGTTTTGGGTGAAGAGCGTTCAAGGTAAACAGAGACGAAGAGCCATGCAGAGCATTCTTGTTTAGGTTAAAAAGTAATCCGATTTTCTACTTTTTCTTTGGGGTTGGTATAATGATTTTAAAAGGAGAATTTAAACTATACTTGCCCAGAAGCTATTTGTTCATTTTACATGACGTACATTTAGGGTTCAATTACGTTTTCCGAAGCATTGTCATGTCACATATATATTAATCTGCCATATAAAGCGCAGTGCCTGATTTTTAATGAAGTAAAGTTATGTTATGTTTAAGTTAGGTTATGAAGCTATGTTTAATTAGGTTAAGACTGTAAAATTAGGTAGCTGTCATGAATTTCAAGGATAAGACACGCGCGTATTATTCTCTGTAATCAGTTAGGAAAATCCGTATACATCGAAATTGATTTTCTGATTGAAATACCAAAAGATGCAAACATGCGAGGTTGGTTTTTATCATGTCTTTCGTCATGTGAATTACGGATTAGGAATTTAAAAAAGGACCTTTATGTTTGCATCTTCAACCAGCTTAAGTCTCATTAAGCGAGGTTTGCATCAGTTGCTGGAATTTTTCATCAACTTTTAATACCAACCAACGCTTTTGGTCTTGCAGTCTTACGTGCATTCCATTAAAGCTGAAACCACTTTCAGTGTTTCGCCTCACAATTGATCTTGTTGAAAAATTTTTATTTGTGGCGGTTTTTATTGTAGCAACTCACCTCGCTTTCTCAGTGTTAATCAGAAAAATTGTAATTATGTTTGGCAGATGGTATTTGGAAGATTTTTATAGAATGCGCGCTAGATTTCGTGAGAAAGTACAAAACTGTCGCCTGAAATTTTAATCAACTTTGTGCATGAATTAGAACTTTCAGGATGAAAAACGGTTTTAAGGATAAAATTAATACCCGTCTGCTCGGGTAGCTTCTGCCTAACTTTATGGTAACCGTTCGTGGTTCTTCCCAACTCAAATTCTTGCTGCATTTTCATAAAAGTATCTAGTCGAAGCCAGGATAGTTGTATTTATGCTACCAGTTTGAACCTTGCTTAATTTCGTAAGGGGGAACAAACGGTTGGTATGTGTTTTTTATGCTTATTGGGTACCTCTCTTCACGTAAAATATTTCATGAAGTTGCTTTGAACTTTTATAAAGGTTCCGTTAATCCCCCTGTTTGTCTTATTTCAAGTCTGGGACCTATAGCTTGGGATAAATGTAGCTGAACACCGTTCCATGTGAAATGAAGTTTATTAATTGTATGCAGATCGTCAAATAACGAAAGGAAAAATCCATTGGTTTCAGTGTCTAGTTTTTCAGCATTCTTCAATCAAGATCATGAACCACACTGATGGTATTTTGATAAGCGTCGGTAATCTCAATACCTTAATTCTAGACTTTTCAAATCTCCCGTTGTTGATCATGCAATATAGATAGAAGATTTACAAACTCGTCATGTTCGCTAATCACAAACTCGATTAATTCTGTATTTCAGTATTCCAGCTCCAAACAAGGAGAATCTTGGAACCTCAAAGATTGAGAAGAAGTTTCCCGCTGAACATCCTTATTCATCGCATTCATCGCGTTTTGCCTTGTTTCCCCAATTCGATGTTCCGACCGACATGAGCAAAGGTGATGCAGCACATCTTTTCCAACCTACACTACCTCCGGAAACTGCTGCTTCTGCTCCCGAGGCAAGCATCATTGGTAAAGCCAAGGGCACTCCTGCTCGCCATGAGCGGGTTTCAGTGTCACCGAATTCAAGCAGAAGCCCATTGAGGTGGCTGGATGGGCCTAATTATTTTCAGGTATATTTGTATATTCCCATTAAGCTGTTTAATTTTATTTTCAAACGAAATATGCTCAATTTTTGCCAAACGTTTGATGCGTGTGGCAGTCAGTTTTAGGCAGCCTTTCCACTAGACCGGGTTAAAACAGAAATGGTTTAAAAGTCATCCGCTTCTTCGTCGCGTTCCCACTAACCCACTTGAAAAACGGATAAGTTGGAAACGGGTCTCAAAGTGGGTCAGTTTTAACCCGGGTTTCTTTCGACCCTCCTGGTTAATGGTAACGCCGAAACCCGGATGATTTCTGACCCACTTGCAACAACAGCAACGTTTACTAAATTGAGATGGCGCCAAGAGTCAAAAAACAAAATCCTCGATGTCGATGTTGCTTCCATTGGCCCACAACGATTGAAATTGATAGATTATTGAGACAAATACTGATTTCTCTTACAACTTTTCACCCTGAATATTTTTTAACCCGGCTTAGTAGAGACGATCAAAAACAGATTAAACAAGGTTCGAAGAAAAATGCCGTTTCCATCGACTCATTTAAAAACGGATAATTTTTTACTCGGGCTAGTAGAAAGGCTGCCTTTAATTTCAAAATATGCTAATTGATGACAAAATTATGGACATATATTTTGGCATTTTGGACAAGTAAGTTTTCGGACAAATGTTAACCAGTCTTTTGGATGTTTAAAGCAAAGTCAGATTATTGCTTCACACATATTTTTAAAACTGCAATTGAAGTCGTGAGAAGTTTGCAAGAAACTCTAAGCACTAAAATGTGATAATGTTTAGAAAACTTCAGTTCCGAACTGGTTTAAATTCTTAGTTTCCCATACAGTGCATGTGTACTGAAACTAAGCACCTTCTAGAGCATCACCCCCGTCCGAGATCAAAGTTTCTAACATACATAGAAAAGGAAAGAAAAATCACTAATTTTCTTGTTAACGTTCATATTTTTGTCACTTGTTTATAATTGTTATATGTTTATAACTGTTACGAGGTATAACTGTTATGTTTGCTTACACATTTAAATCTTCGAAAGGGTCTTTTGACTCGAGTTAAAATGCTATAGCATCATCAATTCCGGTCATTTTGAAACTGTCTTGTATCATAAGAAAGAGTGACGGGGACTTTTTGATAGATCATTGTTATTTGTTTGGACTGAAGTAACCATTAACAAATATGTTTAAAAAATTGTAGACCCAGTCTTATCTAAAGCTTATAGCCTTCTTTTGTTTTTTAATGGAAACACGGGTTCATTATAGATTCAGGGATTTTTGATTTCTGTTGTTTCAGCAAAATTCTATTGTGCAAGTGCAATTAATACAAACCTTTTCGGCGTAACAGTAAATTTTCGGACACATCTTTAAGCTATAAGGGAGGTTCCAAAATGAAACGAATTAAGGCAACCCTAATAGAAACCTTCTCTTATTTAAAATTTTCTTTTGAACATTCACACATCAATGTTACTAATTGTGCAGCAGATACGTCATCTAGCCATGCAAAAAAGAAATTCAATGGAAATTTTGTTATCCAAACATTTTCTGCCAATGATGTTTATACGAAGAAAGTAAAGTTCGTGAAGCTCAATGGAAGGTGTTCAATTTTTCTCTATAAGAAGGCTGTTGAAGATAATTTTTGTAAAAGCACAAGATTCAATGAAGATTGTCAGATTTTCAATCGTTCTGATCTGTTCAGAATAATGATTTGCATGGAGACATAATCTGCTCGGCTTATGCGTAGGCTTTGCTTCTTTATGACGCCAAAATGACTCTATTTCAGTTGCCAAAAGGCCCAGATAAAGAGAGACAGAATTACTACCCTTGCCCACCATCGACAGTTCGCCCTGCAAGTGGAAAGGTGCTCGAAAATACCTCTGTTTCTCTAAGGACAGCCAGCACTCTGAATGATCTGCAAAAGTCCATGTGGATATCGACATATGGAAAGGACTTTAAAGGATCAGCAACCTTGGACACTCAAAATGCTGTAACTGATAATAGCAAGACAAGTGCGGTAAGAGAGTTCCTGCTTCTTAAATTTGTAAGACAAGGCTTAGAATTGTATTTCTAAAACGTTTGTACAAATACAGGGGTATACAGTTTCTTCAGACTTTATATTAACTTTCGAAGTCTTTGACTCCCGTCCCCGCCCCCTGTTTGTGTTTTTTGGTAAAGAAACATAATTAAGATTCGAATTTTGTTTATAATTGATTTAGGAGGTTTTTAGGAGGCAGGAAGCCGGGCTGGCTCGCTTAACCGAGATCTGACTGGTATAAGGAAGTTCTCTTGTTTTGACAAGAAATACAGCTATATAAATACAGGTACATAGGAGACAGGTTTATCTGACCACCATAAGCTAACCTATACTATACTAAAAACTGAATTCGTAAATTTTGATCCCACTTCTATTTCATACAGATGCTATAAAACTTTTTCTATCGATCAATTTAACGAGGATCTTCAATTTAATTTAGCTAAGAAACCTAAAGAAAATGTATAGTACGATGTTTTCAATCAAACTCTGATTTCAATTCTCGATAAACAGGCCCCTCCGAAGAAAAAATTAGTAATGGCAAACAATGCGCCGTTCATGAATAAAGATATAAGAGAATTGATAATGCTGAGATTTAAGGCAAAAAGAGAGTTCAACAAAAATAAAACAGTATCTAATAGGGAGAAGTACAAAAAATCAGAAATAGATGTGTTGCATTTATTAGACGCACTAAAAGAAGATATTTCGAAAATTTAGATGTTAAATTCGTCAACGATAATAAAAGATTCTGGAAAACTATCCAGCCTTTATTAAATGATAAAAATGCAAAAGCAAAAAAAATCATCCTGATAGAGAACAATGAAATCCTGTCTGACAGCAAAATAGTTGCACAGACGTTGAATAATCACTTCGTAAATATTACTGAATACCTCAATATAGCCCAACCTTTATCTGATAATGTGCAACAGACGTCTGACGAAAGGACAGCCTCGTCACTATTAAATCAATTGAAATGCTTTGAAAACCACCGTAGTATTTTAAAAATCAAGGAAACGTTTGATCAAGTTCCTAAGTTTAACTTTGAAAATGTAACTTCCAAGGAGGTAAGAGAGATAATTTACAACCTAAAGGAAGACAAATCCACAGGAGCCGATAACATCCCCCCAAAAGTTCTTAGAATGGCAATAGACGATGTCTCTGGACCACTAACTGAAATATTCAATCGATCTATTTCTGATAAAACGTTTCCTTTTCTTATGAAAATGGCTAATGTGTGCCCCATTTTCAACTAGTAAAGAGAATTATAGACCAATAAGTGTGCTACCCTCAGCTTCAAAGATATTTGAGAGAATAATGTTCAATCAAATCTACAATTACATCATTGTTAAACTGTTCCCTTTGCTTTGTGGATTCAGAAAAGGTTATAGCACACAACACGCTTTTTTACGACTTATTAAAGGTCTGAAAAAGTGCCTGGATAAAAAAGATATGGCTGGTGTAGTGCTTATGGATTTATCAAAAGCATTTGATTGTTTACCCCATATACTTCTACTAGCCAAATTGAAATCTTATGGCTTCAGCGACAACGCAATGGAATTCATGTATAGTTATCTAGATAAAAGTGTATAACGAGTAAAAATAAACTCAGATTTTAGTGATTGGATGGAAACAAAGCAGGGAGTTTCTCAAGGATCAAGTTTAGGCCCGTTGCTTTTCAATATTTACATAAATGATATTTTTCTGCATTTGAACAAAAGCAACTTATGCAACTATGCAGATGATAATACAATTTGGCTGTCAAGTACTGATATGAATGAACTAACTGACGACTTAGAATCGGAAGCCGCTATTCTTAATAAATGGTTTTATGAAAGATTTTTGGTGCTCAATGGCGATAAAAGCAAGCTTATAACATTTAAAGCCAATCGATCCAATTTAGAGGAATCTAGAATTCAAATAAATGGCTCTACTATAATAGAAAGTAAGCATATTCAACTTTTGGGAGTAACACTAGACCATCAACTTAGATTAGAAGAACATATTAAAGTTTTTTGTAAAGAAGCTGGGTAAAAGGTAAACGCTCTAGCCAGGATTGCTTCGTATATGGACGAATCTAAGCGAATTCTTTTAATGAAAATGTTCATATTATCATATTTTAATTATTATCCTCTTATTTGGATGTTTTGCAGTAGGAAAAGTAATAACCGCATGAACCGGATTCATGAAAGAGCAATGAGAATAGCTCATGATAAAGAATAAAACAATAACTTCTCATAAGAAAAATTTACAATATCTTGCGATAGAAGTTTACAAAACATTTAACGGATTGAATCCACCTTTTATGGATGAAATATTTTCCATAAATGAATGCCCATATTACTTAAGAAACTCCCAACTCAAAACAGCGGAGCCACATTACAAAATATATAGATTTAATACCGTATCATACAGATGTAGCCAAATATGGAACTCAATTCCAAATGAGATAAAGTACTCCCCTAATTTATTAATATTCAAGAAAAAAATCTCAGAATTTACATCGTTTAATTGTACTTGTAATCTTTGCAAGGAATACCTTAGCAACATCGGTTATATTTGATTTATATTATATTTAGCGTTGGTAATTTAAATTGGTTGGTTCCAATTAGCTTGAGAATGCATATCTAGAAATGGTACCAACTTTAAATAAAGAAAGAAAAAAAATAGCAAGCGGGCCAGCTCTTCTAGCCGAGATCTCATTTGAATTGACCGATATCTCGCATGAGTGAGATAAGAGTTTTACATTTAAACGTACTCAAATGGGGGTGGTCCCGGTAAAGCGGGGTGATTTCACCTGATATGTGAATTCGCTTACACGTAAACAGTAATACTCTGATTCGTCATGTTTTTATAACGGTATAGAATTTATCCCGGTAAACCTGGCCAGCCCGCCTCATTAAATAACCGGGAACACCCCCATTTGAGGGCATTAAACATAAAAATGCGTTATGAACATAAATATTCTTAGATAAAGCAGTATTCATTTTAGGGTTAATTAAGAAGTTGATATAAATTTTAATGCGTATTTCTTTTAACGCAGGAAAATTTCATAGAAGCGTACACGCCGTTCTGTCAGCCAGATAAAAGCCGTGTTTCCTCAGCCAGCACGACCATTCGTTCAAAATCAAGAGCTGACACCGAATTGCCAGAGACACGGGACGCCGAATTTTTTGACAGTCGTAGACTAAGTGATGCCACGACCCCTAAATCGGTTCAGTTCAATCGCAGTGTTACGTTTTCTGATGGAATGAGCATTCGTGAGATCCCGCTCACCAGTGGTTCAGATACACTTGGAGATAAGAGGCGAGACTTTTTGAAGACCCCATTTAACAAAACTCGTATTTTACCAGGCACTGCCAACAGTGATTCAGCTAGCGACTTGTTACAAAGAGACATACATGTTACTGATAGGTTGTCAAGAAGTGCTCCTGCCTCGACATCTATAAACCATATGCCTTCACAGATAGCACAAAAGGACATTCTTAAAGGCGACCCTGCTTGCCCTTTAAAGTACTTTCGACCGCACACCGTTGGCAGTTATCGTTCCACAACTGATTTACTAAACGTTCACGACAGATGGTCCAAAAGTGCTGCAAGTCGCAGGTTCCACGAAGCCTATCCTGAACCAACTCCTGATCTACGACGAAAGCCGGACTTACGTTTCACCACCAATGAGAAGCGGCATGTAGTACCAGAAGCAAAAGCACACACCTATATTTTCCGTGGGGCAGACCATTTGTAAAGTAGCTCTGTTCCATTAGGATTGTAATAGACTTAGAAGATCGAACATTTTAGGCTTGTCTTTAATATATACTACCATATTAGAGCTTGTCAAGGGTCCTTTGTAAATAAGACACACCGAATTTCTACCATGTATTCTCTTCAAGAAGACAAGATATGGCAAACCTCTGGCCATCTAGTGGAATACAAAATTGGGTGCATGTTAAACTCACGCAGAAATATTCTACCGGATTTACTACGTTATGTGAAATGGGAGATCTTCACGCTGCTGGAAATTCGAAATTGAACCCCTGTTTTAATATTAGCATCCCACGATCAACTCAGACATTCTTGCCAATGATTTGAATTGCCTTGAGAGGCTCTGTCTATACTTGATTCTATTTGCACAATGAGCCTGCTTATAGACAGTGAAATATTTATGTCAAGATCTCTCATTGCTGGCAAAATCTGATTTTTAATGAAAATAGCAGATAATTAAATTCATTAACAGAAGTTAATTAATTGAAGGAGGTTAATAGTTTTTAACGGAAGTTAATTTTACTCATTTTGCTTTTTATGAACGATATGTCCTTTTTAAAACGTCTTTCTTTTCAAAAACCACACCTACTTTTATTTTTGAAAAAGCCAACGACTTAGCATATACAGTGGCTTACATTTTGACAAAAAATCAAGGATCTAGAAAGTGTTTGAATATTGTCATAAAAAGCCAGTTACTAGTAAGAAAGATGAAGAAACAGTAAAAACACTTCTATTCTTCTTTAATCATTGATTTTTAAGAAAAAAATTCCCTGTGCTAAAATTGCCATTATTGTCAAGCTTATAGGCTTACTTTTTAACGAAAAATCCGTAATCTAGAAAATGTTTGAATATGTTGATACAAAGCCAGTTACTAGTTGGAAAGATGAAGAAACAGTAAAAACACTTCTATTCTTCTTTAATCGTTGATTTTTAAGAAAAAATTTCCCTGTGCTAAAATTGCCATTTTGTCAAGCCTATAGGCTTACTTTTTGACTAAAAATCCGTAATCAAAAAAATGTTTGAATATTGTGATAAAAAGCCAGTTACTAGTTGGAAAGATGAAGAAACAGTAAAAACACTTCTATTCTTCTTTAATCATTGATTTTTAAGAAAAAATTTCCCTGTGCTAAAATTGCCATTTTGTCAAGCCTATAGGCTTACTTTTTGACTAAAAATCCGTAATCAAAAAAATGTTTGAATATTGTGATAAAAAGCCAGTTACTAGTTGGAAAGATGAAGAAACAGTAAAAACACTTCTATTCTTCTTTAATCATTGATTTTTAAGAAAAAATTTCCCTGTGCTAAAATTGCCATTTTGTCAAGCCTATAGGCTTACTTTTTGACTAAAAATCCGTAATCAAAAAAATGTTTGAATATTGTGATAAAAAGCCAGTTACTAGTTGGAAAGATGAAGAAACAGTAAAAACACTTCTATTCTTCTTTAATCATTGATTTTTAAGAAAAAATTTCCCTGTGCTAAAATTGCCATTTTGTCAAGCCTATAGGCTTACTTTTTGACTAAAAATCCGTAATCAAAAAAATGTTTGAATATTGTGATAAAAAGCCAGTTACTAGTTGGAAAGATGAAGAAACAGTAAAAACACTTCTATTCTTCTTTAATCATTGATTTTTAAGAAAAAATTTCCCTGTGCTAAAATTGCCATTTTGTCAAGCCTATAGGCTTACTTTTTGACTAAAAATCCGTAATCAAAAAAATGTTTGAATATTGTGATAAAAAGCCAGTTACTAGTTGGAAAGATGAAGAAACAGTAAAAACACTTCTATTCTTCTTTAATCATTGATTTTTAAGAAAAAATTTCCCTGTGCTAAAATTGCCATTATTGTCAAGCCTATAGGCTTACTTTTTGACTAAAAATCCGTAATCTAGAAAATGTTTGAATATTGTGATAAAAAGCCAGTTACTAATTGGAAAGATGAAGAAACAGTAAAAACACTTCTATTCTTCTTTAATCGTTGATTTTTAAAAAAAATTTTCTCTGAGCTAAAATTGCCATTATTGTCAAGCCTATAGGCTTACTTTTTGACTAAAAATCTGTAATCTAGAAAATGTTTGAATATTGTGATACAAAGCCAGTTACTAGTTAGAAAGATGAAGAAACAGTAAAAACACTTCTATTCTTCTTTAATCATTGATTTTTAAGAAAAAAATTTCCCTGTGATAAAATTGCCATTATTGTCCAGCCTATAGGCTTACTTTTTGACTAAAAATCCGTAATCTAGAAACTGTTTGAAAAATGTGATAAAAAGCCAGTTTTTAGTTGGATAGATGAATTAATAGTAAAAACACATTTTTTTCTTGTAATATTGATTTTTGGGGAGAAAGTTTCCAGTGTTGAAAGTTTTGTCAAGCCTATAGCCTTACTGTTTTGACGAAAAATCAGCTGTGAAGAAAGTAAGAATTGTAAAAAAAGCAAATTAGTAGCCTGTAAAAATGAAAAAGAACAAAAACACTTAATAATCAATAGAACGCTAATAATTAGTGGTAAAATGAAGGAGAATTTGAAAAATTGGAAATTGTTGCAGGGTCCTGTTTGTCAACAAAAAATATCCTAGCGTTAAAATCGTGGTTCTAGAAATTTCCAGTTCTCAATACGTTCCAAAACAAGAATAGAAGGTTCTGAAACTATGATGTTACTGGATGGGTGGGGGTTGCTTTATTCCAGACTGGGGGTAGCATTATTCCTGGAATGCTTCGCCCTTTAAACGGCACTATTCAGGCATAGAAAATCTGTTCTTTAAAGACAGCACTGCCTTTTCATAAATAGTAAAAGAGGCGCATATACACATAAGGTCGACCCAATTTTTGAATTTTTTCTTACCAAATGCCTGAATATGTAAAAGTTGTTTCAACGAGAGTCTTGCTAAAACAAACAAACGAACCATCGTCGTGAGTAGAGATAAAGCAGCTGTCGAACGACATCAAGAGAATGAAACTGACTCCCAGCCATAATTTATATTAAGTTACATAACCTGCGCAAAATATGAACTCTGTAGCTACCTACAAACGCTGTACATGCGTGTCTCCATGCAAGTAAACGAGGAGTGAAATGGCTAATTTACTAAAAACAAATAAAATAAAGAAACTGAACAGCTTTTACTTTAGATTTCCCTTTATTTTTATAAGTAATTGATCAACGAAAATGACTAATAAACCTACAATACGAGAAGGGAACAGATCAATTTAATATCTCCCCGCTACTATTCTCTTTAACCTTTACTTCCAAAATCTTCAAATAACTATACATGATTACAAACAGTCGTGAACTTAAGGACGGATGGACGCTCTCGAATTTGTATCCTTGCCAGAAATTGAGCAAAAATGATGTATAAAATGTTGCAGGCAAAGGCCTTGGTCAAGAAATAACTCCCATGGAGGTTTCCTAAATAACCTATTTGAGAAGGAAAACATAGAACTTATGGCCCATATTTTTACGTTCACAACGCTTCTACGAAATTAACAATACACCCCTGGAGCACATAATACACAAGGAGATAATACACGTGGCCTAAACTCATCAAATAGAGAGGGGAATTACATCTGTAGTGAGTTTAGATTCGTGATAGAAAAACCACAAGTTGCTTGTTGCGTCGGATGCAACACTGCGACTAATGCAACATAACTAAAAAAACTTGAGGCATTGTTGAAGTTCAATTTGGAACAAAATTGAGACATTTTTTGTCTTCTAGGGAAGATACGTATAGAATATAAAGAAGAAGGATTTTTGAAAGCAACCAGCTCAAGAAAGGTCTTCGTCATTATCATTTTTACACAAGGCTGCCCCCTCTCTCAGCCCCCCCCCCTTACCAGGATAAGAGAAAAATGGGATTGATCAAAACTGATGTGGTTTACTTGACATTGAAATTGAGAATTGTGAGAAAACAATGGACTTTTTGATGATAAATCTGTAGTTCTAGCTTGGTTTGCAATATGATGGGTGAATCCACAAGAAAGAGTATTATTCTACCGGTTTGTAGAAAAATTGACTATTGGATCTAGGCCAGCCCGTTTAATTTCAACGAGAGAATCAGTTTGCCATGTGTTTAATGTGCGACACACGTGCTTATCAAATGTAACATACAATTACACGAATCTTCAGACAACTATGCAAAATGCCATGCAACTACAAGCACTAAATGGCGGAATCACGAACGCCTAGACGTGCTAGAATAATGGAGTGCTGGATACAAAACACATATTTTCGCATTTAGAGTTAACAAATACTTGTTGGGCATAAAGATGGTTGTTCAAAATTTTCTAGGTGATTGAAGTAAATTATCATCTCAAAACGGGTAATTTAACCAAATGGGCCTAGAAAACATCTAGAAAAAGGACGGCGGAACTCCGTATTTAACCCCATGACTTCCAACAACCTTGAGTTGGCAATTGTTGAAAATCGGTGGTAATTAACTATTCTAGCTTGATTGCTTGCTAGACTGAGATCTTTTGATGTAGAGGTTCAACAGCTTCAACTAGAAAGAAAAACATCTGCGTCAGTTTAAAACCCGAGGAGAAGTTGAAGCAGAACTGTACGGACAGGCGTTCGGCTGAGGGACAATGTGGATCAGCGACCTAGTCATTACAATAGAAGTGACAAAACAACTTAGCATGCTTGCTACTACAGACAAAATTGCCTGGGAAAAAGTCAAAGAAGCTAATGATACTTCAGTTGAAGTAAATGGAGGTCCCGAGTTTTCTCTGTGCGTGTTTTCAACTTATTCGTTAGTTGGTAAATCGCTAGTCCCAACCGTTTCAATTCATGGGAAGCTCAGTAATAAGTTAAATTGGACCGAAAGAATCATTCATGGTTAAGGACAATGCATGAGGTCATTGTAAATTGCACAAAATTTCATTTGTTTAGTAGTAAACCAATATCACTTGCATAAAACCATACCTTTGATCCGTTGAGCTCTTGGAGATATTGAAAAAGGACATTTTCTCCCACCAAATTATGAATCGCAACAAGACAGAATACACTTGCTTTCCTGACAGTACTTTCAGAATGATCATAACCCTACACAAAAAAATGATTCTTTTCAACAAAAAAGTAACTCCAACCCAATTTACCAAATCCACTACAACACTAAGATCCTCTTCAAAATGATTGGTCATACAAACTGTGATTTCAGGCCAGTGGCTGTTTAGGTCTAAGACAAACACTAAACTAAAGCAACATCAGACTGCGCTGATTCTTTGATGATTACTGAAACATCTAGCCTTAAAACCTTACATGGTTGCTGAAGTATCTTAGCTGAAATGCAAACAACCGAAGTGTCAACTGATGACCGAAGGAGAGTAATGTGAACTGAGCAAAATGTTAAGTCAACAAAATGTTAAGTCAACCATTGCTGTCAAATGTGGCTGCCGAGAATCTGAGCATTTTGCGACAACAGAAAACATATAAACTGTTTAAAATATCTACATAACAAATTTGTGTTATTATTTCACTTGAGTACAGAACTGTCATCATAAATCCTGTACTTTCTTTTTGTGTAGAAAAGAACCTACATCAGCAATTCAGGGGAACATATGCAAGAATATGCCTCAACAATTTTTAAGTTTCAAATCTTTGTTTTCTTTCAAAACAGCTTTGGCATTTCCAACCAATGTGAAATAAAATTAATTTAACATGATATGAGCGTCACTTTGTATAGGACTAAGCTTACCTTCAGTAAAGCGGAAGTCACATTTGGCAAATGGGGTGCAATTGAGGATGGTTGAGAATGATCGACAACCTAGGAGACATCAAGTTACCATATAAATACCGAATGACTAAATAGGTAATAGAATAACGTGAAGTAAGGTTTTTTTAAAACTTAATGAGTAAAACGCAAGAAACAATTGAAACGAACAATTTCATGTACTTACATTGTTTATCATTTTGATGGCTGGAAGAATTGATGGAAAGTCGGCTGATTCAATAATCGGGCATAGTATTGCAAAAAGGTCTTTGCCTGCCTGGTTCTGTGCAATCAAATTACAGCATTCTTCAGCAGTGTTAGAAACCTGCAAAAAATGAAGCGTTTAGAGAAAGCCCAAGCCAGATAGAAAAGCAAGTTTAAATTACGGGACGTTACCCTAAATAATGCAGAGTTTCATAGACAATCCCTCAGCACCACTAATCACCGCCTCACCGTTAGCCAATTGATTCCTAACATACAGTAAGCACATTGGCTAAAACTTTTATGGATCAGTTGTACAGTAACTGACATTTTCAAGTACTTTGAGGCTGTAGGCTTGCAACAAGAACCAGGAAACACAAAAAGCAGAGTGTTCACTCAATTATACGTGTGCTAGAAATCACCAAAAAATCAATTTAATTTGCAACCATTGCCCACCTCTTTTACGGAATCAGCCTGGGTCTCGACCAGTTTGGTTACAACAAGTTTCACATCATCTTTGTACGCTTCTGGCATTGAGCGAATTACTTCACGCAATGCACGTGCAGCCAGACAGCGAATAGCACCCTGTTGGCAAAAATATTTCTTTAATAAGATGCGAAAATAGCAAACTGGAAAATAATACAAAAACCAATTAGCGGAAAGAGGCGTAGAGACATCAAAACTTTATATTACCTCGGAATGTTTTAACGTCTCTGTTACAATGGGAAGAAGACCTTTTATTTCATGGACGTATTCCCTGTTGCCATTTCTTGCCAGTTTTATCAGCTCAATCAAGGCGCTCTTGACATCTTCTGATCCACTATCATTACGCGAGGCTGATAAAACTGCTGTTATTTGATTGATGATGTCTATGTTGGCAGGCGCTGCAGCTAAAAACAAGAAAATCCTTCATAAAGCACAGGAGCCATACAAACACGTACGTAGCTTACAAAGAATCAAAAGATTATTTTCAATGCTTTTAGGTCTAAAATTTCACATTGAAAAGTAAACATCGTGCAAAAGAACAGGGCTAGATCGTTTTATGTATATATGTCAAATGTGTATCTAGCCTTTATCGACACAGGTGCTTCTAATTGGTAACAGAAGACTGTAAAACTTCATTGTAGCATCGATAAAATCTTATAAATTATGCAAGGAGGTTTAATACCAAGCCAAGGCTTACGTTCGGCAGCAGTATCGGGCTCTTCTGCACCGTCGGCAACACGTACCATCTCAGGTGAGAGGAGAGCTTTACCACCATCCCCCGCAACAATCTGAATAAAAATTTAAAAAAATAATATTATAGCATTCTGTTATAAAGGGCCAATTTTTTTAAATTTGATCTTACCGAAGGTACGAGAGTGATAAAAAGATAAGGTTCTATTGCATAAGTCTGTAGAGCCAATGAGGCTGGTAGGAAACGGGTGTTCCTTGATAACCCCTACTTAATGGCAATTATCGAGGTAATGTCTTGCTATTTTTAAAAAAAGTTTCCTATAAGGATGATAGCCACAATAACAAAGTCATGAATGTGATAATTTTAAGAAACAATGCAAGTCAACAAATCAAAAGATCTTAACACAGCTGAGCATGTATAGGATTTAACACAGTGTTCGAATAGGATATTAACGTTACCTTGTCTTGATAATGCTTGGGGTCATATTGCTGAGTGGCTGTTGTTGAGTGAAGCAAGAAAGGAGAGTCGTCCCCTGGAGACTGAGATCCTGAGGAAATCGGGTAGCCTTTTCCATACTTTTTGTCAGAGATAGGAGTACTATAGACGTTTCCTTTCGTCTGATAAACGTCGGGCGTTCCTTCCTGATCACCATCACTGAAATTCAGTCTCGATCTGACAGATTCACCAGCCTCGGCACCATCTCGGACGTCAGGTCTACCACTTGCGCTCCTATGCAGAGGAGCACTGTATGCAGCTGGCAAGTAACCACTATCTGAATCTACGGTATCATAACCAGCCGGGTGATGTTTATTTGGCGATATGCTTCTGTATCCTAGTATGTTTTGCCCCTTTTTCTGTGGGCTGGAGTATCTTGAAGAATAATCTTCGTATTCGACGTCATAATCTGGAGCCGGCCTCGGAGTTGATGCCATTCGGTTTGCCATTGGCTGAAGAGTCAAAACAAATATTTGTAAGAAGGAAGAATCGCAAGATATGCCGTCGTCCGGATTCTGTGCATCTTGTAATTAGTAATAATACGAAAGTAATAGTCAGGAAGAAAGCAACACGACGATGAGAATCCAATGTAGTGAAATTGAATTTTGAATTAAATGAAATTTAATAAATACTAATATTTCGCCCCGGCATAAAGGGCTTCATAAGAGTAAATAAGATGTTGATTTACTATCGTGGAACATTTATAAGTAGTCTAGACTAAAAAATCAAAGCTTTCAGCAGGACTTACCCTTAAATGGCTGTGAAGAAGCTTCGTAGCGCCATCCTGGAATACAGTTAACATAAACTAATTAGAGAATTAGTTCAAAAATAGCAAGAGGCTTATTTCGATGACTGTTTAAATTTCTGAATAAATCAAGATTTTTGAATATTTTGATGACAAAGCTTTCAATACTTGCTCGTGAAGTTTAAAGAAAGAATTTTAATTTGAAAATGCTCTTGGTGAATGGCACTTCCAGTCAAATTTAGTGGCTTGCAGATGAAGCAAAAGTCCTAATGCAAAATTACTCAGATGCAGATGCAGCAAGAGCCTAGGATTGACTAAACCAAAATCATTTGGCGGTTTTTCAGGAGCTTGCAGCGGGGCACTAGAATAACAATGAAGAATAAGTTGCTGGTGTGTAACCATCAGTTCACACTAGTTTCTACTGGTGTTGTTAGGATAGGACATAAGCCAGGGACAGGTTCGGTGGTCTAATCTGGTCAGTTTTTTACATGCAATCTTTAAGCTGACAGTGTTCTCTAAAGGTGATTGCTGACCCAATAAAAGAGTATAGGTAAACTACCTAGCAGAAAAAACAATGTTGACTTCAATCAACAAACCTGGAAAGAATTTGGCAGCACAGCAAGCATGGTGCTAAACACAGGCGTGTTGAGTTCAAACAATGCCACGATGACGGATCCTGCCTCCTGAAATAAAGATTTCAATCGTAAAATTATGCTCAAACACAAAGACTTTATCACAACAAGCTTTTCAAAATGCACAGTTGGCCTTGTCTTACACAACCATTTATCATTTAAAAGCAACTGAAGATGAATACATGCAGTTGCAACCAATTCACACGTTGCGAACTAGCATAGGCTTTTCATTGCAACAGTGAGGTGGCTAAATATACTTCCGGCCACTTTATAATCTGCAAAGTAGCCCCAGATGCCCATCATCTCTCAGAAAATACCGAATTGATCTCACGAATATCAAGGTAGTACTTAATTCAGACAGAAATAATACCTGAGTTTTATGCGAAAACGCTTTTGTTTCATTATCAGATACACATGCCAAGAAAAACCACCATAAACAAACGTGATAATAAAAAACTGATGTCAGATTAAGTGTTGGAAAAAATCTACATACTTTTCGAACTTCAGCACTTTTTGGCTCTGACGTCCAAGTGATGATTCTTGATACAGCTAAACGCGTTGCTAAAGAAAGATCAGTAACGCATAAGTTACCAGCACAAATGCATTTTAAAATATATAACATTTAAAATACCTTACAATAAACACTCGCCTTGGTGCTGGACTTTTTTGCTGCGGCCATTTCAAACAAGATGTCAAATGAAATAGTGACAGGAAAGATTGCTTAAATACTACAACAACAACAACAAACAAAACCAAGATTACTTTCGGCAGTTTAAAATCAGTTACTTAGAAATCCTATGAAAATTTAGAGCTGTCAATAGACGATTGAATCGCTTCACGTTGATATAAAAACATTGAAATGGATTTAACTGATTCACGCACCCGCATTATTTGAGAAGTCACTAGAATCCATAAGTTTGATTAAACCTTGCAAATAATGCAGAATTGCAACCTTCATCTGAAAAAAGAGAGGTCGAGAATTAGAGACAGATGACCTTCACAGAGTCATTTAGTGAGAACGTCACCAAATTTTAGTTTTTGAACTTTTGAGTTTGGACCACATAGCTAGAAAGAGCTTCATGAAAAATATCTCTAAATATTACGTTAAATGTGTTACAAATTGGCTGAGTTATGGCTAAATGACCACAGACTCTTGAAACAGAGGACTTTAATTGCTGGGCTTATTTTCTGATACTGTTCGTCATCACTTAATCATGAGTCAGGTTTTGCCTAATAATAAGTGATTAATACCTGAGATAAGAGGTCAACATAATTGTCTGGTAAACAGTGATTACTTCAAAATCTCTCCACTGAATTTGCCAAGTGTCAATTATGACTAATAAACGAATATTATTTAGTGAAAGGCCCTTTGGGTTGAAAATACAATAATCTCTAAGCTGGGAAACATTTACTTTCAGTCTCACAGAAAGATGACCACCTTTAGATCGTAATTCATTGAAAAATCCCACCTTCAGAGTTGGAGTTTGGGTGCTGTCTGTGATGTACTTGGTGAGAATCTGGAACTGTTGATCGTAAGGAAATGAGTCTCTGAAAATGAATAAGCGTGAATGTCAATAAAAGCCATCACTACAATTTCCAGGAAAAACCTTTCCTTGTTTAGCTACCTTTTTACATTTAGCGCATTATCTCTTATGACCAAGTACGAATCAAGGTCGAGTGTTGACTTAGTTTGGAAACACTTAATTATGTAATGTAACTATTCAATGAAATTATGGCTGATTAGTGCCATGGTAACATTGATGGTAAAGACGCCAAGAACTGAATCAAATCGATATCAATGCTAAATTAATTATTGACTTACCGGACAATGTCAAGAACTCTCGCCACTTTGGAATGTAATGATGGTAAGATATCTGATCCTATTTTGTGTAACAAGCGAGTCAACAAGACGAAGAGCCAGTCGTTTAGATGAACTCGACACTGGATTATGAACTCACTCAGCACATCGAGAAAGACACGATACACCTGTAGTGTGAAAGATAATTTTATGACGCATTGCATAGCAAAGTAAGCAGAAGGTATGGTGCAAGCAGGGTCATAACTCCTACTGTTCGTGCCCTTCTAATTATCACGAGCAATCCTTACTTTTCCTATTGTTCTTGAAAAAGGTGGTCTTTCAATACTTCTATCCCTTCAACGGAACTGGGTGCAAGGTGAACAGTTTTCACCCTTGACGTCTTGCAGAAATTCCATTATCAGGCACAGAATTGAGAATATTGGAGTTTATAGAAAAAAATACACAGTAGCAACTCCGTTTGCTTAACCTTACATAATTAAGAAATACAACTCCGTGCTGATTTCATAGAACTGACTGGGAAGTATATTTAGTCAGCAAAGATGGCATATGAAAAGCTTAGATTTTGGGTTTTTACAAAAGAAACTGCATTGACCACCCAGAATTTCTTTATTAATGAAACAAAAATGATGGTGCATAACAACAAGGCCAGGTTTACAGAAATGAATTTACATTTGAACTGTCATTTGGAGAACAACCTGAAAATTCTTTATTGTTCTGAATGAAAGAAATTTGAAAGAAAAAAGTGAGTGATGAGGTCAAAACGCTCTTACCTTTATGTGTGGGTCTGAGAAAAACTTATTGCAAACATCCCGCAGTCGAAGAGTCTCATCCAAACTGTTGGAATAATTCATTTCTTGTTTAATAATAAATGAGATGAATTTTGGAAATAAAAGTTTTCACGCTCGACATTGAATCTAGTACACAAACGAGAAGATCTATCATAGTTCAAATCTTTAGCTTTAATCGGGGAAGGGAGTTGATTTGAATTTTGTGACGCAAGATCTACGAATTTCAAAAGAGACTTGAAACTCAACTGAAAACTCAAACTCAACGTACTTTAGTTTTTTCGATCCTTGCAAATACGCTTGCAGTGACGTCATCCCATCTTTGTTCTCAATCCAGCTTTGACTGCTGAGTAATTTAATGATTTCGTTGATATCCTACAAACAATGCATTAGATAAATGAGACACTCAACAATCGGGCAAAAGGTGACTGACTGAAGATATTTTAATTCATTGGGTTGCGTTAGAGAGGGTACCAAGGTATAAAACTAGGATCCGAAATCAAAAGCCAATGAGTACTTCTTACAAAAAACACGGTTTACAAATCGTTAGAAGTCGAATGCTTTGTTGATACAATCTGAGAAGGGGTCTTTACCTGAGTAGCTGGAGCTTGCTTGCTTCCCGTTGCATTTCCTGACCTGTCCGAGGTTAAGCTCGAAGTCTCACTGTCATCGTCGCTTGAATGCTGCTCTTGTGACGTTGCCGAGTCGTACCTTCGTCTTCCTGGACTTCGCTCCTTTGTAGACAAGTTATTTTGTTAAAATATTTGTTACCTAGGCACTGAGGCATCAGTTTTTTAAAACTAAGAAGCATCCATACCATTCAATTACTTGGTAGTTTCATTGTAACATCATAAAGAATAGGAAAATCAGGGGAAAACAGTGATTTGAGAGTGGAGTTAAGGTGGCCATTCCTAAGTTTCTTGCAAGAACTGGGTGTATATGTGAAATTATAAATACTTGTTAATGATCGTAAAATCTTCTATTGAAAACGCCAAAATTTTATAATAAAGTACCAATACGTTGTGATATGATAATACCCTTTGCAATATGATTGGGCCATTACTTTTGACACAGATTTGACACGCATGAAAGAATAAACCTACCCGTCAGGCGGCACCTACTCTGTGTAGCCATTTAAACATCCTTTGCATATAGTTTACGCATGCCCTGATTCTCATGGATGACGTAAGATTTTGGTCCTTTTCAAACAAGTCTTTTCACAACAAAAACATCAATCCAAATAATTAGAATGATCGGTATGAGCAAAAATCTTCAACCGAACGTTATCAATCTCACTTAGATTAAATGCAAAATGACTTACATAAGCGTCCCAAAGATCCCCTTCAGTCACCCTTCCACCTAAAAAGGTAACAGAATTAAGGAAATACTCCAATATGTCAGAAGAAATAACTGATTTGACAATAAAAACTTAACGCTGCATATCATTCTAAAGCCCATTTGGAAGTCAGACTTGGTCACAAAAAATTTAATCAGAAATGGGATGAAATTTTGATCTCGTGTCGACGATTTTATGACAAAACATTACCAGATAGCTTTTATTACCTTGGCACAGAAGATATGTTTTGCAACAAAACGGCTCAAAGCAAAAAGGCCAGGATATTTTTCTTTCAGGAAAAAAGGTTAGTCGACTCTAAATGTTTATAGCGACCCTAAATGTTATAACCCCAAAGATATGGTTCGGAGCAACAATTAAAGGAATAAAGTGCTTTCTTGGAATGGTTTGTTTACAGTAGATATCGTTTGTCAATCTCAATGAGAAAGCAAGGCCACGACAAATTTTTTGATCAACTGTTCGCCTACATTAACATCAAGATCACTCTACAGACAAATTGCTGCGATAGACACGGTTCACTTAGAAGAAAAAAATGCCAGTCCCAAAACATGAAGCGAAACAGCTGTCAGTCAAATGATAAGAAAAAGTTTCTTCATAAATAATTAACAAAGATTCACGTGTCAAAATGATTTTAAGAAAATTAATCCTCGTTCATCAGAGAATTTTGAAACCGTCCGAGTTACTGCAAAAACATTGCGCTAATGCTAATGAAATTTTAGATTTAAGCAAGATTCACCTGGCATAAATCGACTTTGCCTAGTCGCAACAACATCCTACGTTCTAAAGCAAAATGTTGATATAATAGTGCGAACAAATTTTGGTTATTGTTGAAATCTTGAGTTACCGGATGGTGAATGTAAATAATCGAATTTGGTTTAAAGCATAAACTACTTTTGCATAAAACAATGCGGCTTTGAAGTATCTGAGGTAATTATTAAACAAATTTTCTACGCCCAGAACCATACATCTCAGTTTTAAATTTGTTTTTTTTATCTGCAACACATCTGTTCTGGATGTCTGAATTTGTTGGTAAACTGAAGTTTACCTGAGACTCCGTTGTATCTCCCTTTCATATCGCCAACATAAACAGCGTTGCCAGTTCCCCTTCCGGAACGAACCGGGCTTGAATCGCGACTTCCAGCTCTCGAATTGGACCGGGATGCTGATTGAGACGTAGAGCTTTTTCTGTACAGATATGAAAAATTCAATTTTCGTTAGGAAGACATCTAAAATGGACTAAAATAGCCGAACATTTAAGTTTTTGAGTAACAAAGGGGGTGGGGGTGGGGGTATGTGGCGCTGAAAAAACATTGAAATATGGGTACGTAAATTTGTCCGTGAATTCGATTCCGATCATATATTTTGCAATCAGATATAAATTGGCATATAAAGACCAAGCTACATTACTGAGGAATCGTATCTATGAATGTCACTTCTAGGCAATTTGAAAAGTTTGAGGATATAAGTAGAACTTGTCATTCTCAGTTCATCATCTAAAAAGAATAGTGAGGGCAAGTTTTTTACTGGGAAAAATGAGTTTTGTTTATAATTTGAAATTCCAGTGTCACAATTATGCTTCAAAGACGATATGATGCTATGGCTCTATGTTTACATAAGATTTAATAACTAACAAACCCAGACATTCTAAGTCATCACCTTGGAGTAGGAATTCTAGTCTTCATAGGACTGATGCGCCTCATGTAATCTTCTGATCTTTCTCTTGAAAAAGATGGCATTCTTCGCGCTGGCGAGGCTGACCGGCTTGAGGCTGCAAAATATAATTGGAATTTATCGTACATCTTGACTTGTTTTACTTGACGATTGGTTCACCATTAGTACTACAACAGGTCTTGAACCCATACACCAACAGATGTTTTGGATTTTAGCGAAATAAATTCAATTCGATCAACTTCAAAGAACAGAAACACAAATTTGATGATCAAGACGTTGAATCAGCGAAGAATCATTCACGAAAGTAACATTTGCAAGTCAAATTGCATGATCTGAATTCGATTTATATGTTGACGACATTATTCACCGCCCACGTAAGTCCATAGATCTACGAGAATAAAGAAACGCTATATCTGCGATGAAGCCAAATGTCAGGATGTTGATGTGCTCCCGAACGCCACCATCTTCGCAGCGACACTTGAAATCATAATTACTTGTCAATTTGCAATAATGAATTCGGTTTGCCCGTGGTTACAAAATTCACAGACAATCCACAGAACAAGGAGCTTTTGGAAGTTAGAAAACAGGCTTGACTACTTTAAATCGAATTCATTCGAATCTCAATACGATTTTGATTTTATAGAAAGTTGAATCTCGTTATCATAAACGCATCCTCCATTCTGATGACAATTTCAAGTAGCTTGATTGGGCAGACGTGAATCCTATTGTTAACTGAAAACCACGAATGCCATCTAATTAATATATTAAACAAGCGCACTAACGCCCGCCCTCTAATGGTATCTTGACACCACAAAGAAGGCTATTTTGCCAAAATGTGCTGATAGGAAGGAGAAAATTTAAGCGAACATAAAGCAGTTTTTCAACTTGTTATAATTAAAACATTACCGGAAGATGTTTTAGGATAGCAAGTTCTGGTTCAGAAACCTGTTTATGATCTATCAGCGATTGTTCTTTCAATAGCCAAAATTAGCAACCCTGTCTATACTGAATTTTAAGCGAGAAGCAGCTCGGCAGGACAGGTATTGATAAATCACGTAAGCAAAAGAATGAAATAAGCAATTACAAAGTCGTGAATAGTAGGGGTGACAGCAGGAGAGCCTATATGTTATTTCAACCATTGATGGTCGCTATGGAAGAGATCTGAGCAGTTTCAGACCAAAAATGGATTTTTCAAGAACATATTGCTGCGAAACTTTAAAAGACTTCAACGACTGGAGTTGCATAACTTAGGGCTTCTCATATACTACTTCAAAAAAGCCAAAATAATGTAGTTGAAAACTAAAGCTATTAAGCTAAAACCCGAAAACGACAAGGATTTGTAAGAAAGCGGAGCCCCATGTAGTAGACGCGTACGGGCTTTTATCTGTCGAGCGGTTGCGTACATCCATTGAAATTTGAGTTTGTGCTGCCTGAAGCAACCAACAAACATTACATTCACAGACTCCCAAGTAAAAATTTTACGCAACTTCATAGAAATAAAAGAGACGCTAATTTGGTTTTAAGAAGCCGGATAACTGGGAAAAAAGACAGCCTTAAAATTTGCTCATTTGCCTGAAGGAAATGATTTCCCATTATGGAAGTCAGTTTAAAAGAGTGATCCTCGTATGAATCAGAGTATCTTTAAGTGAAAGTCATCTGGGCAAACAGTATCACGAGCTTTGGTGACCAGTTTCGTTCTTCGCTGTCTTTAACTCCTCCTGTGTTGCCACTGGGTATCGATTTGCTAATGCTTGGTGAAAGATAGGGGGCGAGCGTGTTAACGCCAATCTTCACATCAATCTTTTTGTTCGCGGGCGCATTTCGACTCATCGTGCCCATGCGTATTTTTAGATCGCTTGGACGCAGATAAAAAATTTCGTTCGCTTTGGTAGAAGACTGTTTCTCTACTCAAAAAGCTGCAAGGAGCCAATGAGATCACGATGTTTCACAGCGCGATAGAACAGGAAGATTGAAAGAGATGTCGGGCTAACATCAGGGGTAAAACCAGGCCTAAATATCACAGCTTTTAGAACTGCTGTCAAGTGTACTAGCCACTTGGCCACTTCGTCTTGGTATTTAAAATATCCAATGAAATCCAAATCAGAATTGAAAACGCGACCAACTGGTCCAGGATTAGACTTTTGCATACAAATTGACAAGCAAGTGATATATTGGCAATTTCATATTAACAAGAAGACGTGATTAAGAACTTACGTTGTGAAGCAACGGGTCTTTTAGGCTGTCTTCTAGTCGAATTTCTACCATTAGTTGATCGAAGAAAGTCGTCACATGACTTCTGGCGTGGTTCCATTTTTGGGGTTCGTAGGTTCTTCCCTTCCAGTTGACTTGCTGACCTTTGCATGCCGGCAGGAGGGCGGTACCCATCTAAAAATAAAAATAACCATGTTAAATGACATATCTTTTCTGTAATCCTTCTAAAGTAAGCTTAAAATATTATATTTTTCAAAAGATGAACAAAGCAGATAAAACAACATACCACGAGAGATAGGCTGTTGGGGCGGTGGCATGATGCTGAAATGCAAACAAAAATCTTTGTCAGTATAAAAGACAAACTGGAAATCAATTAAATTCGAACATATAACTTACATTAAAATATATAACAAGAAAAACTGACTACGTGATAGAAAAACTCCTTTGCAACTGATTTTTGTGGAAATGACGACCAGAATTTGCCTATTTCGTTACTCGAAACGATTTACATCACAAAGGTATTCTTGTGATGTGTCAGATTAATATTTTCGAGTCACCGCAATGATCTTCTCCTGAAACATTAAGGAATCTTTTTCCAGGACGATAATAAATTGCTGTTTCCACGTTCAGGCTTAGTGACATCATCACGGAACTAAGGACATCTATGTCTACGCGGCATTGAGCACACCGTAACAGGCGTTTAATATCAAGCTTTGACTTTCTTTGATACTTACGCTCGATCCTCGGTGTCACTTGAGGAAGACGCACTAGTTGTTCGAGAACTTTTCGTCGACTTGGTTTTGTACCGTCCCATTGAAGACGATGGTCTGGTCAGCCCAGCCTGCAACAGGTTTTTGTCGCTTTGAAGCAGTTTCTGCTTTGAACTGTCGAATGTTTGCATCAAGCTGGAATAAAAATTCGCCAAAAAATATAATTTTAAACAACAATTAAAAATATTAAAAAACATCACTATAATAAGGTATAGTTCATCACAACCGTTTCTTATTTTCTATTCTCCTTCTCGTTTTCTAACAAATATTGTCATATGAAAAGATGACTCGATGCTAAATGACAGATTTAGGATCAGTAACATATTTGACCTTTATACTTGGCACTTAACCTGCCCGACACATGACCCCCTAGGCACTTTACCTTTCGGGAACACTTTCCTTATAGTTATATTTGACAGTTTTATGAAAATTCCTTTTCTGGCTTATGTTGACTGGGAAAACTGTAAACATGTTTAGAGCAAATTATTTAACAAATTGTTTGCCAAGGGTTCAGCTTACGCGTCCGCTTTGTCCCTGTAATGATCCGCAAAATGCCAGTACGCTCTGGAAAAGAAAATGAAATTGTAATAAATTAACTTTTGTAGCATTTTATAGCACGATAAAATACAACAATATCATACCACAATAATCATTGCTGCAAAGAATACCATCCCTCATAGGTAGATACTCGAAATTCGATCTCCAGTCTTGATAAAAATCTATTTTACAAGGTTACTTTTGTTCTTCCAGGATGTCATGTTTTCATCACCAGCTCACACAATGTTTTTTAGATATATATTTTTAATAGACTTATGGTAAGAAATAAGGATCTCTTTTCCAAAACTTTATCATTTGATTCTTTCCGTCATTCTTATTTACTTACCAAAATTCCTATACCCAAAAGAAAACGAATTTTTTTTATCGACCTTAGGCCGCTTGAAAACGTAATTTAAACACACTAACAATCAGTAATTGAACCTTATTACATATAGGCACATACCGTCGAACGGCAGCTCTTGCTTCTGAATCAGCATCGGCGATGCCTTTCCTGATTGCTTCTTCGATGAGTGACACTTGGCTGGAAAAGGTTATCAAAGTCCTCGTTTTAAAAGTCAAATATCAGATGCTTCCAAAGAGAAATTAATAAGAGACGGATGCCCCTGTTAATTCCAAATTTCATTTCTGTGGCATTACATTTCCTAACTTGTAGCAACAAAAATAAAACACATCAAGACTCCAGGGTAAGTAGCTTCACCATCTTGCTTCGGTTAAACTACCCACAAAGCTGCCAGATATATATAATATGTAACACCAAAAGAGCATATGGGGATGCGGCAGTGATAGTGAATAACAAACCAGTTATCCTAATCATTTCAAAAAGGTTCCCTCAACAGGATCTCTACACTCTACAGTAAGATAATAAGAATATTATGTGAAATAATAATAAATGTAAAATAATCGGTTTTGGTACCCTTTAATTGAACTTGTTTCCCATGTCTCTAATAATAAGTCGATGTACTCTCCACATTTTCTGCAAAAAATAATCAGTTGATTACAAAGAAGCAGCTGAGGATGAGCATCTCAAACTAGGATTTCAAAAAATGCGTTTCAAAAAACATGAAGTATTAGTGAAATGGCAGATTATAATTACACCAAAATGAGAACGTATGCTATTCAGGAATCTCTTTTGAAATACAGAATCATACAAAAAAGACAACAAAAGACCATTGCCTTCCAAATTATTGGGGGCCGACTGCCCCCTCTCGCCCCCAGGTTTCTGCCACTGTCTATAAACACATAGTTTTGTTGGCTTACCTTCTGACTTCCTTTGATTTATTTGTTAGCAAGTTGCTTACAAAGATTGGTATCAACTTTGGGCAATGAGTGTGCTGTAAAAAATTCCATATAGAAAACTGAATAGGTGAAAAACACAACAAGGCATATGGAATAAATTGTCCTGAAAATCCATCAGAGTTTGCAGAAAAATTTGCTAAAGACAACAACATTAGACAACAAAATTTCTTATTGCAGTAAGGTATATTTTACATGAAATTGTCAATTATTAACAGTTGAACATGCAAACTAAATTAAAAATTCCTCGATAGTACATTTTCCTGATTTTGGCGGAGTAATTTGATGCAATATTTTAGAAAAGTCGAGTAAATAGTTATATATATAAGGGTATCAAATATTCAGAGACTTACTTTTATTATCAAGCGTATGCATGCATTTCCAGATGAGGACATGATCTGAAAAATGGAGAGAACCCTTAGCATTGATATTCAATTATAAAAAAGTTCTGGCGTAGACATCATTTGGTACTGCAGATTTTGAAGATAGCACGGAAAAGCTTAAACATAGCATACTGAGATACTGTTCATTCGAAAATTCCTCATTCGAGTATAAACGTCGTGTAATGCCTGAAGGTAAGCAGAAATTTTTGTCCAGATGAGGAAAGAGTTTGTTTTCTCTCTTGGACTTTCAAACTAGGCGAGAGGTTAGCATGCCCCGATTGGTCAAAAACAAGGAATCAATCAAACACGCCACTCTTCCTCTCATATTAATCTTGTTCCGCATCTGGATGTAAATTTCAGCTTAAATTATCCAGTCATTATCCACTGTTTTGTACCTTGAAGACGAAAAGAACTCAACTATGCTTTGTTCTGTTTCCGTGCTACCTTCAAATCATTTAATGTTGCTGTAAATTCAGAAAACAACAATGTTTAACACATACCTTCACTGAATTGGGTATGAGTGTGATCAAAGCCGGAATTAGTGCTTCGGCAAGATAATCAAAACCTCGATGTAGTCTTGAAGCAAAAAAACTAAAACAAAAACAAAGCGAGTAATAATCGGTCCAGTTAAAATTGGCTTGAAGAAACAAAGCCTATATATACGTTAACGTTAACTATATATACTTATTAATCCCGTGAAGTCGTACCCAGGTTAACTGGGACTTTCATAAAGTCGGACTGACTTTCAATTCCTATTGGTTTTCTTCAAGTCCAAGAGATTAGCCTTTTTCGTAACCCGGTTAGGTCGGACATTTGCTGACCCCCGAAGATATTTAACTTTAGATAAAAGAATTGGCTTTCACAATAGTATGTAGGTTTTAGTCTTGTTTGGATCTTGAAAGAAAATTTATTCAGTAATCAAACTAATGCAGCCTAGAGTGAGCATAGAGTCAACCAACCTTAATACTAGGCATGCTTCTTTGACGATTTGAGACCTCAGATCCTTTACCTGAAATCGTATGAAATTTGGGGTTAGGAGCCAATGATGAAAGAAATAACATCCAATGAAATGAACTTCTTTACTCGTAGGCCAAAAATCTTGGAATGTTACTCAGAAATTTGCAACGGATCATCTCAATTAGCATAGTCCAGTCGGGTAGCTGGAGTAAGTTAATTTCCAACCGAAACTGTTATGGCATCAACCAAAACTAGAAACCAATAGTTTCTTGACACGGTGTTCGCTACAAAGTTTTAAGGGTGGCACGTACTTGGGGCTTATACAAAAAGCACTTATTCAAACGCAGTGTTAAAGACAGTTTCAAGTGTTAAAATTTACGACATGTCAAAAAATGAGCATGTCTTCTAAAAACAAATATTGAATGAAACTTACAGACACTCGAAGGCAGACCTCAAGATCACGGAGTACTTTTGAAATCTGGTCGTGGTCCCCATATTGTTTAATAACTTCTCGCAGTTTTTTAAGCTGGAAAGGATACAAAACTAGATATCAAGTCGTGCTCTGAATTAATTTTCATCTATGTCTCATTCGAAGCAAAAAAATTGTGATTCGGCAAGGCAATTTATATAATTCTAAGCACTTTTTAATAACAGCAAGAGCAATAATTAGCAATAACTAGCTAAGTCAGGAATAGTTTGAGTAAACCTTCATGCAGCTTTCTAGCAGAATTCGTCAATAAGGGCGACTTTGTAGGGGCAGTGGCGTAACGGAGGCGTCTGGGGCCTAGGGAAAAACTGAGACCGGGCCCCTATTTACAGACTGCAAGAAAGCCCCATCCAACACTGTAGAGCATGTCAAAACAAAAGCAAGATGTAAAAAAGATCCATTGTTGTTAACTAGGGGGAGCTGAGTTATAGAAGCTCCAATTGAAAAAAAGTAAAAACGAGGTCAACTTAAACAAATTATTGAAAACATGGATATGTAAATAATTTGGGGCCCCCGTTGGTCGGGGGCTCTTAGTCATCGACCTAAGGTACCCAAAACTGCGCTAAGCCACTGGGTGAGAGAGTGCAGCTGCTCCATCCCAAAAGTTAAAGAGAAAAATAAGCCTTTGTTTTCAAACATTAAAAACATTTGAACAAAAAGTTTTGCCAAATTATTCGCGAAGTGTTAGACTTTTTACCATCTGCATTTATAATCCTCCATCAAAATGATCCATGTCAAATGAGGATTAAAAAACTTGATTAACAACAACCACTTCCAGACAAACACTCTTTGTGGGGACTAACAGTCATAGATACCTGTATAAATTGAATCATCTAGAACCAAAGTAGCAAAATCTAATATGGATTGAAAAGACCCAGGAAGAGGATAGGCAAAATATCTGGTATGTTGACAGTCCACATTGTGGAGCAAGAGGAGCTCTCTTCGAATGTTTATCAAGATAAAAAAAGAAGAAAACTATCGGGAAATTTTATTCACATTAATCTTCATACATCCTGCATGGAAAAAGTTAATTCAATAGCTAAAAAATCTTAGGCAGGAAAGTAAAAAACTCACAGCGGTAACTCTGAGTTCCCAATCATTATTTGCGCTTGATAAAGTGCTATTGATTTTGTTTATCTCTTCCAGCGCATCTTTTATTGAATAAATCTAGGCAGAAAAAAAATTTTAAATCGAATTGAGAATCAAAGAAAGCTAGTTTCTAAATAACTCCTGGATTTTTCAACAACATTAGAAAATCCAGTAAAACGTCTTTATAACAGGAAAACAGACGAATGTATTGACGCAAAAAGAGGTGGCTTGAAGGGTCATTTTGGTTGGAAACTAATACTTGGTTTGCTAAAAGAAAGATACAAGATATTTGGCTGGCATAATCAAGACTTAACATAGGTATATGTGCTCTCCGTCGCTTTTGAACGGAAAATAAGAGAAGTAAAAATGACTTGCTGGAGTCACATTGGGTTTACATGGAGCCTACAATAACCGCAGCACTAGGAATTCATTGAAATGCAAATAACTACAGGGAGGGGCCATAATAGACGCCTTTTGCAATCATACTTGAGAAAATATTATTTTGCATTGACAGGACAAAGATCCAGGTAATGATAAAAACGAATGACAGTAACTAGTTTCTTACAGTTGGCGAGGCGATCTAGCTATGTATTAAGTTTATTAAAGCCAACTATTTACAATACATATAAACAGTAATTATGACATGACCTAAATATACAATGAAAGTTTCACAAATTTTGCAGCTGCAATCAAAGTTGTCTATGCTTTTAATGTTTTTGAACATATCAAGTTCTTCTTTTTTTCATCTCAATTCATTTCATTCTACAGATAGCAAAGGCGATTTTTTTTGGCCCATGAATCTAATAGCCTCAGTACCAAACATTGTTGTCCTTGCAGTAGATTGAACAACGTTGTTATTAGTTCAAAGTTCATATTTTAAATTTCTAGTAATATAAAACCTACTTATGTTTAGAGCCTAGCAATAGGCGATGTCTGCCTTTATATAACAAATCGGATTCAAATGCGATATCACAGACAAAACCATTCTTACGTGACGCTATGCTTAAACGAATAATCATCCTTGAGGCTAACAGGATTGAAATCACTTTTCAATGACGTATACCGAATAGGCTGTTTTTGAGAACAGCTCCAGAATCTGATAATCAACAAGCCTCCCTAAATTCCTTTGTATCAATGAGAAAATTTCATTTTTGAAATCTGATTTACAAAAAATGAAACAAACGAGAGTTTGGACAATTATGTTCTAAACTGCGCAAATCCAATATCCAGAATTTTATGGTCTGGGATTGACTTTAGTTTTCTCTGTGGGTGGTACATTGGATGTTTGGTAACATTTGATAACATAAATGCTGTCTAGCATATTGTGCAAATACATACAGTTGCTATGAATTTCCTGCTTTGAAATTTTGCAACATTTTCAACAAATTACAAACTTAGTAAATGACTAGATTTGGCCTAAAAGCAGCTATTTCAATATGTCCTTCATTAACAGGCAATCGGAACTTCAGCTGATAATCAAATACTATAAGACATACTCTGAGATCAACATTTTCCTCCCACTGCGACACGAAATCGCATTCATCGAGTGCGCCAGTTCCACTACCTGAAGAAAAAAAGATTTGCATTGAGCAAAAATGCAAAATTAAACCATAATTGTATTTTTAGTTGAAATAATGAATAGGTCATGGTAAGAAGGACTTCTCGATAGACTCAAAGCAAAAACTCGCGGCCAAAAGGAAAGGAACAACTCAAAGCGAAAATTTTTTCATGTTTTGATATGCGCATGTTTTGATATGCGCCCAGGCATACAAAGCTTCATCAGAGCTACCAAAAAATTTAGTATTTTTTCGTTTTTACACTCATTACAAGAACTAACGACTACTGGACCAAACAAAAAACCCAGTGTGGATTTTTTTGGGTAGATTCAAAAAAAGAGCTACTCGAGTTGATTATATGAATACATGTAGCTGATTGATGAAACAATCAAAGAATTCAGTGATGAAAAGTATATTGGTAATAAAATTTATATTCACGTAAGAGTAGGACGGTATTGTATAAAAACGATGAAATGAGAATCGAGCCTTTTCCATAGAAATTGTAAAGAAAATAAATAATATATAGAGAGACCATGAGCAGCAGAATTGGGAAGAGCAATAGTTTGTTGAATGATACAAATATGATTTAAAAATACTTTTTGAGTGGTGTGATATTCAAGATTTTGTTTGAAAATATTACAGAACCTACCACAGTCAAATCATAGTATTCTTTATAGGAATCAGAAAGTGAAATGGGGCTAACGTAATGATGCAATCTTTGTTGTTGAAAATATTTGCGTTTCAGATTTAAGAAAACACCTGAAGTCATGAAGTAATTCATTCTTCCTTAAGACTAGCACGTGTCGATCAAACTATGAACCATCTGCCTTTAGCTAACGTTTGCTTTTGGGAAAACAAATTATATTTACTGGCTAAAAATCTGAACGCCCGATGGTTCAAACAGCATAACGCACGTGGCGTAGGATGCGATTACGAAATGCCGAGCAACAAATGAAAACAGGCTGCTTAAATCTTTATGAAAAATTGAGTGGATCAAAGGACATCAAGCCTTTCTGTCGTGTTAATAAATGCTACACTTTTATCCTTGGACATAAAACACAAATGACACGTGAATTCGAAACAAACGTGTACTTTTCGTCTTCACACGTTTTGTGTGTCAGCCAACAAAAACAATCTGCTAAAATATTCTTGTACGTCTTATTTCATCGTGCTAGTAAAGCAAAAGCCACACACAGTGAATATCGAGACAAATAGGCGCAATTAGAAATAAACTATTACCTTTCCGTTTCATAGTTTAGTAAAGAGAGCAGCTAAACATCTTTCATGTAGTGAAATGGCCGGCGAACGTTCGTTTAGCGTCTTAGTTCGATCAGCACAACAATACAATGATACTTTGAGAGCTTAACATGAAATCGTGTGTCTTAAGATGGATGCATTCGAAAGAAAACGATGCCGCCAGTCACTCGAAGAGAATGTTCGGTTGAGTGTCTGCATAAATATTGAGAGGAGAGAGTGGCTCAAATGTGAGTTATTTTTTAATGAGAAAAGAAGGTCTCGACTCGCACGATCCCAGCTGAAAGATCCGTGTGTATTCAACGAGCCTGAAACTGTTTCATATTAACAGCAGCCCAGTTGAATTTCATGCATGGTGTAGAAGCTGTCTTGAGAAACATCCCATCGATGGCTCGACAAAGACGCTAGAGCACTCACTTACTGTAGACGGTCATTATCATCATCATAAATACAGGCATAGCGAGTGTCATAAGAACAGTCAGAGTGTTGATATGACTCTAGCAGTATGACAAAAACATCAAAACAAAGGTAATCATAAAATAAGAAAAAAACGGGATAGATTTTCTATAAGCGCAGCGACTTACTGGGAAATTTTCAGAAAGGATTTTTCATCGAAAGATAAAATTTGTGTCTAGATCTTTTGGATTTATAGTTGGTCCGACGGATCAACAATTGAATATGGATTTAAGCTAATAAAAGGTTTCGAGTCGAAATTCGACTACGATGACGTCTGTATTTCAACATAAAAAACAATGGCTTTTTATCTAAAAACTGGCACAGTGTAAATATTTTTCGCAGCTTATGAATCCCAACCTTTAAAGAGTCGACGTACGAGACGTCCTTTTCTTGTAAAACCGTAAAGATTACACGAGAACATGCAAAATTTCGGTTCGCCTGCATTTCTAAGAAACATGACTTTTTACTGAATCAGGAAGATTTCTTTGAATCCCAGGTGTGCAAACCAGACGAAAAGTTACCTGAAGATCCTGAACCACGATCCATTACCGAAGACCTCTTTGGCTGCTGCGTAAAGCTAGCGCTTCTCCTGACCGACCCTTTCACAACTTGACTAGTAGTCGCCTAGAAACGATAAACGGAACCTTTGCTGGTTTACTCAAAAACAACCCTAAAGACAAATTTGCTTAACTCGTGTACAAGAGCTGTAAGGCTGTTAAAAACCCACACTTTGTGACTTAAATTGAGCTGAGAGATACCTGTCAGCTATAAAACTAAACTGTTAACGGGGCCTAAAATCACAAAACAACAAAGAATAAATTTTGTGAGAAGGTTATTCAAGATCCAAAGATATTTTTTCACCAGCGCTTTATGGTTGCTTGTTTGTAAATGACAAAAACTAGTGCATGTATTTTCAAACGAAAAGGAGAAGATTAAAAGTGCAAATTAATAACATAATTTGGGCGAGATTGGCTTAAACAGTTCAGAAAGCAAGTTGCTTACAATGGAACAAGCATCATGCAACAAGCCGATAGCTTATATATCGATGAAATTGCAGGGCAAAAACACCGCTATAACGAAACCTGACAAATTATAAAATGGACGCATCTATAAAGTTTGTCTTCATCTAAATATCGTCTGCCCTGCAAGTGCTATCTCAAAAAATAGATAAGATTTTCTCATTTCCCAGAAAGAAGTTAAAATGATTTTGATAAGGTGCAAAACCTTTATGTAGTTTAATGATCTTCCCAACATTCCCGTGACTAGTTGCCAATATCTTTTCACGGCTCTTCCCAAAAAATCAGCCTGCGCGAGGGGCAAATCACTCTAAGAAAATCTCGTTCACCTTTTTGTAAAAATCCTTTTGTTTTATCTGAAAATCCATAGAAATCCTTTTGTTATAGGCAAAATCTCGTACGCTATTTGCAAGAGTGAATCGCCCCTCGAGCCTGTATTCAGCAGTGTTAAAATTGGTTTTGAAATTGCTATAACTCGGGCTGCAATTATAGTATATCCACACGGTTTTGCAAATCACCAAAAACTCTAGGTACCAGAAACAGCAGAAAAGTCCGTAACTTTGCACATGCAACTGTAAAAACGGATGGTGACGTACCTTGGGCTTCTCTCTTTCTACATTTTCGCTAGAACTTGAGCTGCCAATACCTTGAATGGAAAGAAATATAATCAAATTTGATCATAGTCTATTCTAGAAATTTAAAAGTTCTGCTTTCATTACTCTAAAATCTCCACAGAACAGATTATCTTTGGCTAGTTTACTAGCAACTCTTACTCGTTAAAAAGTAGAGAGCTCTAATCAATTCAGAAAAGCTTCTTTTAAGACGTTATAACGTAAATGTTGATCTAATGAGAAATAAGCGGTTGATGAGATCTTAAATGGCCCCCCCCCCCCAAAACCCTTTTGGGACAGGTACTTAATTTTGGCTTATCAATGCATCGAAAACCTTGATTAATTTATGGAAGTTACTCTAAAAATCATGACTTGATAAAAATTTGCTGAAGAAACTGGGACATTAAATAAGGGCAATTGGCCCAGCAATTTTTAAGACCACGATAGTGACTACAAAAATTATAACTTCGAAAATAACGTGGCCGACAACAGTTGCTCGTATTCTTCAAAGTAATGAATAGCAACATGGTTTCAAACTCCCTAATGGACGCGTATTTCCTAGCTGGATTCGCAAGGCGATAAACAATTAAGTTAAAATTACGTAACAACCATAAATAATTTGGGGAGGAAACAATCTATCTTTACTTCAGAAAGCCCCACACTGATTTGCGGCTACAAGCAGGAAATCAATTCAACGTGACAAAAACAAGCCAACTAATTTTGAAAATTGTTTTGACCTAGCTTGCATCATAAGTAGTCAACTAAGTAGGGTAAAAGAATTCATCATATTTCGTATGAATAATTCAGAGATTTGCGTAGGAATGCTGCGCAATCACTCTTTTCTGTACATGCCTGTCCGGACAAACAGGATGTCCAACTAGGGACCTTCCTCGTATTTGTTGTTGATTTGCCGTGGGAATTATCGAAATAAACCATGAACTGACTTGATAAACAGCCTCGTCAAAAAGAAACTAGTTCAGATCAACTTAAGCGACGTTTAATCTCCCTAACGCAGACAAAATTAACTTTTTCTCCGGAATTCTATACACGCATCTTTTATAAGAATCCGTCTACAGCTTTTTAAAAGAGCACTTGGCTCCAGTTTAAGCCTGGCGTTTCTTTTGCTTTCATAAAATTTCAGCCTCACGAGATATTTATTTTGTTTCTTTTCTTTCTATCGAATTTCCTGTGCAAAGTGGTGTCCGGACATAGCCTGTACTTTATGAAGTAATCAGTGTTATTTTGCTTATCGCTTTCTGTTTTTCTGTTGCTATTCTTTCATTTTTCAATTTTTGCTGATAGTGATATTTTATTTCTTGGGTTTTGTTAAATTTCAACCTGCCTTGTTTCTTTTGTTTTTCTTATATTTTGGGCAAATCCCAGCCTGTTGTTTCTTATCAGAGTTCCTCTTATAAAAAAGCGTCTATAAGAAACCGAACCCTAAGATGGTCAACAAATGAAGGAACTACACGTTTTTTCATAAGAAACCGGTTTATAAGAAACCTAGTACTAGAGCCCTAAAAATTTAAGAAACTTTTAGAACTAAATCAATATTTTTAAGAAACTCAGAAAAAAAATAAGATGACTTTCTGAGCCGGAAAATAATACGTCAACAATCCATTTTTGCTTGATTTAGATTTGCTAACACATGGTTCAATTGAAAGCTAAAAGAATACCGTGTCCTGTTTAAAGACCAAAGCGAAGACTATATAAGGTTAAATGACATAAATGGAGTAGACAAGGATTTTGCGCAAGAATTGACGCTTATTCTTGGGCCTAATGGCATAAAATTTCAAGTATATATTGTTATCGCTTTATAGGCTGTTCCCGGATTAAAACAATTTAACCACACTGTACTGGGTGTCTCGATAAAAAGTACCTCTGTTTCCATAAGAATAATGAAGAAGAGATACGATATCAAATCTTACTGTTGTGTTATAAACTTTAATACAATTGATGTGCGTGGGAAAGCGCAAAATTTGATGTTTAATGCTTATCTAAAAATAAGAAACTTTTAAGAAACTTTCAGTACTAGAAACTAGAGAAAAATTAAGAAACTTGGACCCGAACTAGGACCCAAGCTAGGTTTCTTATAAAAAAGCGTTTAAAAGACAAAACACACTGAACCGAAAATGATGCGTGTTTTTTTTCTACCTAAAAAGTTGCTTTAGAAATCAGAAAACTGAGTACTATTTCCGATCCTAGTTTTTTCTAAAAAAAACCCTTAATATACAATATAGTAACCATTATGGAAAGTACGGCACATTTTTTCGAGATTTCGGATGTACGCGAACGAAAATTGAACTGTGCAGTGGGCATTAGTCAACAAGTATGCACTTCAAGTGTGCGCATCTTTAAGCAGTCGATTTGTATTTCCTATGGTAATTTTTTTGTTCTCCATCAACTTAAACACCAGTGTCTGCAGAAGCAGGGAAGTCAGGTAAACCCTAGACCAACTCGGACACTTGTAATAGAGACTTGGAGCTGTTAACTGGGAGACTTAGAGCTTCAATGCATGGTCACAGTTCACATCCCATATCAGTGAAATGTTTAAATATAGATATCTCCCTCAACACAGACTATATGTCTTCAACAAACGAAACTGAAAAGAATCCCGAAAATTTTTTCAAAATCCACAAATGCGATAGTATCTACTACCTGCCAAATTGAAATATTTTATAATTCATAGATAAAATACGGATTACTAAAAATGTTACCAATTCAAAGATGATAAAGAATTTAAGAAGAGCAGAGGTCAATTTTTGAGACAAAACTGAGTCTAGCATGAAGTTGGAACAGAGAACAATCAATTTCAAACAATTTACGACACCATAAAAATACAGTCTCATTATTAGCATGGCGTTTTCAACGAACGCCACCATCGATAATTGGCGCTTTCAACGATAATTTACGCCACCATCGATAATTGGCGTTTTCAACGATATCCCCTACTAAACGCCAAACAACACACGTCTAAATAAAGGAGAGCGGCGACGGTTGGCTAGGCAGTTTATTCTAGATAAAATAAGCGGGTTTTATCTAAGATTAAGCTGAATGAAAAATTTTCATTAGCTATTGAAGACAGGCAGGGCTAAAATCTGCTCATTTCTGACAGTCAGACCACAATACAATTCGGAATGCCAATTACTGCCTATCTATATGACCCAATATGCAATGTTTCAAAATGCTTTTCGTTTCCCATATTTGATTTTTCCAAATTGAATCATTCTTAACAAACTCTTCAACGATTTACACTCTCTTTTTTATAAGAACCAGTAAATTCAAGTTCAGGCTGACTGGATTGTTCTGAGGCTAGTTTGGAGGCTGGATTGTTCTTAATTTGTTCTTAAATTAACAGGGTGTAAGCAGTGCGATTGCTACCTTTTTCGCTCTAGGTACACCTCGTTCAGCCTCATTTGCCAACAAAGTGATAGAGACAACCTTCATTTGCCGACAAGCTTCAATTTTCACTGAAAAAGCACCCAAACATGGCTAAAGATCCTCGTTTTTTAAATAAAACGTTGTTCAAAATTGCATTCTAGAGTAGCTCAGCCTCAGCTTGTTCTTAATTTGTTCTTAACTTTTGAACAATTCTGAGGCTCGTGTTCTTATAAAACTGTTCTTATAAAAAGAAAAGGGTGTAAGTTTGGATAGGTCTTCACTTTCAAGCTCAAGGACATTTTGAAGCTCGGGTGACCGAAAAACATTTACAAACGACGACTGGGCTCACAAAAGAATTAATTTCTATCGTACTCCATCTTCCAATCCTACAATCAATACCGTACAACCCATCGCCGACCGGCTTGCATAACAATGCAGTGATTATCGAATCACTCACAAACAAAAAGAAATAACCGCGCCGCAGATTACGAACAGTAGAAACGGTTACATTGATACTTGAGACGTTTTAAGGTGTTTCAAAAAGCCCTAAAAACAGTTAAAGTTAAATAAATGAAATATAATATCAGACTAGCGAGGTGCGGCCTACAGAATTTTGTAAGCCGGTGCACATGAATTTGTGAAAGAAAAAGCGTAGTATTTACCGAAGTAAAAGTTGAAACTATCTTGCATCGTAAAACTCTCGGTGTCCTTCTCATTCCCAAGTGAATGATCAGCCTTTGCAGCTGCCCTGAATAGGCTACTATTCTGGGACAAATACATCTTCTAAGCATTTTCATTTGTCGGTCTTTTCTGGATTGAGCGGTCGGAGAAACCGGCAAATTTTGGCGAATAAAAGCTGGAAAATATATAGCTCGTAATGAAGTCGTATTCAGGATTCGAACATCTTTCCTTTCTCAAAACTTCGACTTCAATATTTCATGTCTGTAAAATGTGATTCTTGTGATGGAACAAAGCTATCCGTATATTCCCAGAAAACAGCATGTGCCCACAACAAAGAAATGTAATCAGCCTTACAAAAACCTGAATCTTGGCATCACCGGAATAGAACAGCCCTTGACAAAAGTTTCCATGTTCCCATGGAACTTATCGATCGATGAGTTGTATTGCTTTTATCTGCTTCTAATTACGTTGCTAGGCCTATTGACCTTCTGGTGGGGCGAGTTCATACCATCGCTCGCTTGAAATGCCGGTAGGTTTTTGTTGACGTTGAGCTTAGCCAGATAGCCCGCTTGAATTTTCTACCATCTAAACATTGGAAAGTCACGCAACAAGAATCTCTTCTTAGGTAACACCTCGAAGTCGTTTCCATACAAATACAAGCAATTTCAGAGATTTTTCAATAAAACAGTTTTCACATTATCCATCCATGTCCTTTAATCACTTTTCATTCTAGTATTGTAGTCTGAGCTCAAGTCGGGATTACAATTCAGGCCAAGACAATGTCAGGAATCTTGTTTCTTTGTGGCCGCTGAGGGGCCTTGTTGACATAGCTCAATGTGATTACCGACAACAGCAACAGAACAAGTATTTGCTAACAATGAGCCGATGAATGAGAATTGTACTGTTTACTCCCATAGTTTACTTCTCGCAGCTTAGTGAAAGCACCATGGGCTGCACAAGTGCCAATATGGGGAAAAGTCAGTTTAACCATGGACTTGCTACAAGTCTCTCTCTATCCATTAAAGAAAGGGAAAAAAGAAAAAAATGGGGGGGGGGGAGCGCATCTCTCCAGTTTAACCACAGCGGATGATGCGCCTCTAGTAGCCTTCTACTTTCACATTCTCACTTAAATGTAAGTGCCTTTGTTCCCTTTTTGTGCCCCCATCCCTTTTGTATGAGTGTAAAAACAGCGGTGGCTACCAATTTTGCACCCACGACGGCGATTTGTTGCATTCCGTGGCAAAGTTGGCCTTAGTACGATGACTTGATATTAAAAATCACGCCAATAAGGAGTTCGATTCCGACCAAGAGTGGTTCAATACAAAAGATTTTCCTCCTGTTAGCCTTTGCCTTATGATAATATATAACTATATAAATATATAAATATATAGATATAGATATAGATATAAATATATAGATATATATAAGTAAATATCACAAAAAATTTACAAACAGGAAATTAATCTACAACACTACTAAGGACAATACCCCGAAGAGAAAAGTACCCTAATATATATATATATAGGTATATGTATGCGTTCCCCGCGACCCACTACATAGTGTACTCAATTCTTCGTTCACAAAAACGAAGCTAAGGTAGCTTTGGATCCGGATGACGTCCCAAACTCTAGTCCAGGCCACTAGACAACCTGACTTAAAACTCATTCTAGCCATGTTGAAAAATTGCTCTTTATTTATAGACCGTTTACGAATGAACTTAGATAGAGCTTCCCAGCAACAGCTACAACAACAACAACTGCATATATCACTACACCATTGGCAAAGTCCCATCCTAAACCAACAACAACTCAAATAATTTCAATGTTGCGTTCTGCCTTTTTAAGATTAGGTTAAGTTATTATAAAATTGATGACTGTCTTCCCTAAATATTAGTATTTTTGTCTTTCAAATACGAAATTCGAGTTTTTCATTGTGAGAATCTTCCAGAAGTCGGTAAGAGAAATAAAAAACGGCTTCAGATAAAGAGTAGGAAGTGCATTGCAAAACCTCTTTCTGCTACCATCTGCTGCAACAGAAAAGGTATCAGCCATGTTTTTATTTGTAAAAATATACAAAATAATATAATCCTCGAGCAAAGCCTGGTCTTTCAATGCAGTGCTTTTCAAAAATTTCAAGGCTTCATGCAAATTCAGCATTATTGACAAAATATGTGGTAGCCTAAGATAAACTGTTTTAAGTCCTGGCTATAACAACTGGACCATTTCTTGAAATGAAAGCTGAAAAACCTGCAAGTTTTCCAATACACTCTTTTTTATAAAAAACCAGGAAATTTAAGTTCAGACTGGCTGTTCTTAATTTTTTCGAACATCTTACAGTGGATTGTTCTAAATTTGCTCTTAAATTTTATAAGGTGTAAGCAGTGCAATTGCTAGCAATTTCCATTCAACCTTCATTTGCAGACAAGTCTGAAAGTTCATCGGAAAGGCCAACCCTACTACATTGCTAAAAATCCTCGTTTTTGAGATGAAACATTGTTCAAAATTACATATTATAGTAGCTCAGCCTTAGCTTGTTGTTAATTTGTTCTTAACTTTTGACCAATGTCGAGGCTTGTATTTTTATTAAATTGTTCTTATAAAAAAATGGACTCGTCTGAATCATCGTTTTAATCGCATTTCACAATTTTGTCACCTTCCAGACTGATCGTTCAATGATGCACTACAAACAAAATTTTTCATCAACATCCAATATTGATTAATATCCATAATTAAAGTAGCCCTAATCTTAATTTAACAACAAAAGAATATCATTCGGTATAAATAAAAACCCTAAAAGGCATGGATGGGATTTCCAAAGTTTCTAACATGGACAAATTAAGTATCGCCCAAAATCGTCTGCTGGCACGCTTTAGTGAATGCAAAGCGCCAAATTCTAAATCAAACACGAAAATGAATCATGTTGCCAGCTGGCCACCTTAGATCGATTTTGAAAGTTAGAGTGTAAAAAAGATTACGAAATAAGCTAGATCAAACCCACTGAGGTCTAGGTTGTTAAGGTCATTAATAATATGGTTAAAGACCAAACTCGCCGTTAGTAACAACTTTGGTTGCATAAATAACACCTCTTTCTAATTAGTCAGCGCGTATCTATTGCTAGGGGGACACGATTGAAACCAACAATGACACTATCATTTTTAGTATGTAAATTAAACTACACCATGAGACTAAACTAATAAATCAAAGCCTGGTGATCTAAACAACAGACAGAATTGTGTTCTTCAGAGTTTGTGTCTTAATTATCTCACCTTGACAACAGATTTATGAAGATGCATTCGATCAGACATTTGCAGAATGTTCTTAAGAACTTCCGTCCAGAAATAAACTGGGCCTAGGCACTGCCACCAGATCCGTCACCAAACCAAAACCCGCGTTTGAAATATGCAGTTAGTTAGCTGTATCGATTTCCGTGTAGGTTTTGCAACAGAACCTCAAAGCCTTGAGGTTTTTAACACACCGTTTTATTACAAACACTCCACCTATACCTGTAGCGAGAGGAATACAAAAGTTTGTCTCGTCTGCATACAAGCAGCCTACTTCTTGAAGCCCTGCCTAATTCCTACAAAGATTTTAAACCTCATTAAAATTCATACTTTGGATTACACAGCCTGCTGTCTTTTCTATTGTTGTTATCAGAATTTACATCAATAATTTACCTGCATGCGCAAAGACATTCAGAGCAAGCGAAATTTCTGAATATCAGATAAAATGTCCAACGCATTATACTCTCGAGTTGAAACATTCTAAACCAATTTCAGGGAAATAAGATTCAAATGATTAGGCTGGTAGCATAGAATCTTATGGTAAGTAGATCTTAAACCACATCATCTTCCTGAATTATCACGTTCAGGTGAACCAGTCAAAGCTCCTACAAACAGCTCAAGAATCTCTGATCTAGCCAAAAACTCCGTCTTAACATCGTATCAAACGATGTGACAGCTGACCAACAACGATCACGAAAAAGTGATTTTAATTAAATAAAACAAAACATTCTTTAGACTTCAACTTCAATAATGTATACTAAGGAAAATCAAAGCTGCATTGAGAACGACAGGCAGCAGGTGAAAAGCGATGTTCCACAGTTTGTTGTGATAACAGCCTGCATAGACAAGGAGCTAAAAACTTGCTGTGATGGAGCTGCAATTTGAGTAAAGGAGACACGACGACTGTAAAGCGTCAACAAAAACACCAGGTCAAGAAACTCGAAGAAATCAGTAAGTAAATATTTGTATACAGATGAAAAAAGCGTCAATGATGGCAAACGAAAATGCTGCTGGAATATCACAGGAATAAAGTAAACAGCTGATTTGATGTATTGATGTTAGGAAGTTTGTTTGAGAGTGCGTTAATAATTCGGTGCTGCAAGCCAGTATCTTACGGTAATAGTGATGCATGTCCTCGCATTGGGGGTGGTAAATTAGCAACTGGAACTGAATGACAAATGGAGAAGATTTGTAATGGAAAAAACATTGTGAATAACTTCTTCATACAGTCCATTCACACAGGTTGAAGCAAGTCGACCTAAGCTTTTGATCATGAACGCTTTCGAAAGAAGTAGTTGATTAGTCTTAAATAACCACGCATCAATTAAAATAAAAGATAAAAAATTCAACGATATTCACATTTATACTCAATAACCTCAACTTTTTATTGGGCTTATTTTACCTTCCACGGCAGTAGGTCAATCCGAGAGGCAGATCACCCCATAGAAGTTCCTTACACCTTTAGTGGAACTCCCTATAAATGCTTTATCAGTAAATCCCTTCATCAGTTTTGGTGGAAATCTCGAAGGTTATTTACAAAAGTGAATCGTCCCTCGGGTCCATCTACAGTTGTAATAAGCAGATCACATGCTGCTGTCATAAGTGAAGTGTATGTTATGTTTTTTCGTTTGAAGTGAAACACTTCAGGCAGCGATTCAAATCCAGCCAAATACCAATGATCTCCAGTCAAATACCAACCTTCTATAAAACTTGTTTAGGAATAAAAGAACAAATCGAGCTAGCTTTCTTCGCAGCAGCTTCAGACTCAAGAACCCTTAATTAAAAATTTTGTAATACAAAATACTTACCGTTGTTTTCTACAAGCATGTTGCCAGAGTGTAAACATTCATCAAATTTAGCAAATATTGTCGTTAACCTGAGAAAAGATGACGAAATTTCAGAAAATTACTTGTTACTTCAAAAACTTACGTTGCTGTTCCAAGTTTCATGCTTAATGCAATCATCAGGAACTGTTGCCTGGTGATTGCATTAAGCGCGAAACTTGGAGAAGCAACTAAGAACCGGCCTATAAATGTGTACAAAAAATGTGTACATCTCTGCTTATAATGCATCGAGCACTTAATGACAGACTGATAAAACAATAATTTTATACACCAACACACCAAAAGCGTTTACATAATAAGAAATGCTTTCTCAAAGCAGCATACTTTCCAAAGTCATACATATTCATTGCAAACCCAAGTCCAATTATATACACAATAAATAAATCAACTTCATTCCTACCTTGCAGCTGGGATCCCTCTTCTACTTAAGTCACTCCTAACTTTCTCTCCAACGTGTCTGTAAACCTCAACTATAGTAGAAACAGCTGCATCTCTGACCTACCAACGAACCAGGTCAATACATTTGCAACATATTATATGCAGAATTCTATTAAGCCTTTGTGCTAACTACTCTATACTACTACTCTGAACCTGAAACAAATGATAAATAATTTCACAGCTTGTTTCAACCGGTAGGAAACAAAACTATCAATCTAGACTTTGAATTTATAGAGCAGTTTCATTGCAGTGCAGCTAAATTGGTGGTAGCAGTGGTAGTGATTGATACCAATACAATAAGTAATGTGCATAATTCATTCAAATTGGGGGTAACTAATCGAAACCACAAGGGGATGGAACGAGTGAAACACGAGCATATTGGTTAATAGAACATAAATTACCACCACGACGTTTAGAAATAAACATACTTCAAAATATGATATTTTCCATCCTCATAAATGAGTTATTAAACAAACCTTGCTTGTAGGGTCACTGAGAAGCTTGCATATTGCAGGCATTTGCTTGCTGATTGTCAAGCTTGAGGCCCCGAATCTACAAATGGAACAAAAATTAAGGAATTAAAGACAGAGGGATACTTTCACAATGCATTTTCAAATAAATTCTAGGTTGTCATGTAAATCACGGGTACTATGTGACAAATTTAGTAAACCACTCAACCAAGAAAAAATTCCCTTTAATTAAACACTAACGATTTTCATTCAAAAATAAAACGATAATGGGGTTTAGGATGGAGAAAAGAAGGATAATGCAATTAACGACAAAAATTTCCTGTAATTATCCTTGA